AATAAAAATATATATATATATATATATATATATATATATATATATATATATATATATATATATATATGTATTACATTACATAGATAATGGTTAATTTAGCTTGAGATGGCACATATTACAATTTATTAACACTTAGACAAATATTTTTTTCTGATAGCATATTTAAGATCTTACAAAATCCCCTGGACCTTAAGTATCGCCTTATCTTTTCCTTTTTCTGCTTCTATTGCCACACATGCACACACACATATTAGAGATGTGTCATCTCTTAATTAGTCCTGACTGTTCTTTGGTAAATGGTCTGTCCCTATGAGAGTGAGTGTGAGTGTGTGTGTGTGTTGGCAGGAGCGTCATTATATAACGGCTGCAGTGCAGGCTGGCCCAGCTGTATTGATGTGCAGAGATGTGGGAGTGGGGGGGAGGGAGCTGAACACGACCGAGGCCAGTGAGAACCTTGTCGCTTGGTCAGCCTTTTGTGTGGCTCCCAGCAAGCGAGAGACATCCGAGTATAACAACACCTCAGACAGTGAAGTAGCACGCGCCACTGCCAGCGATTTCACTGCTAAACTCACACTTTACGCTACCTAAAAACATAAACGGAATACTTATAACTCATTCTTGAGATAATAACATCCATAATTAAATAAGCTTACTTTATATTCTAATGATTCTTCTGTGCAACAGACTATGATTTGACTTTATAATACAAGTAAATAAAATCATGCAGCTATATAAAGATGCCCCCCCGAGGCGTGTGATACATTATTTAAAGTCGAAGGCATAACTATATCAATTGTGACCTAATTTACAAATCCCCTCTTCATATCAGACTGTGACATTCACATGTAGAGGGATTATTTCCCATGGATAATTAAATGTTAATAGGGTTTCGATTGCAGGTTCTCCAACATGGGAACATTTTATCAAGTCACAATGAGCGGAGTCTGACAAAATCACAACACAAAGCAAGACCAAATGCATATGTACAAGAAAACCTGCATATTAATATGCCAACATTAAGTACGTGTTTTGTGGTGCATGTTTATAAGGCATACTGTCACTTAACACCCTGCGTTGCCAGCGCGTACAAAATGCCTCGATGTGAATACTTTGAAACTTCACACTTCAGGAGAGAGGCTTGTTTCCTTGGTAACCGTTTTCCCCCTTTTGTCCTTATGTGCCTACCAGTGCATAATGCTGCTCAGCACATGCACCTGCATAGAAATCGCTACCCTTTCTTCCCCACAAGCGAGCAGTACACTTTTTTTCAAAGCACTGCTCTTGTCTGGAGCTTTGAGATGCATCTTTGAAATAAAGCACAAATTAAAGGTTTTGCACAGCTGCTATTTGAAAACACGCAGCACTTAAAGCAGGAGATGCTCAGAGAACCGCGAAGGACCTCTCAGACCTGCCACTTTACGTAATTACTTTTAAAGTCTAGGTTTGAGAGACAGAGCAAGTGATTTCATGATTGAAAATGATGAAATATGGATGGTGTGCTGCTTACATAATTGAACATCAGTCCTTAAAATACAACTTTGAGCATCGGTGGTAACATTTAGCTGTCTTAAGTCAGTCTTTTTGGGTGGAAGCTATACTAGAAGCAGGTGAGCTGAAAATAAAGGTTTGAATTAGAGCCAAAAAGGTTTTTAGAGTCACGGAGAACTTCTATGCATTGGTGCTTTAAAGAAACCAATACAGTGATCTAAATACAACTAACAACTGTTCTTTACAAGAGGTTTCTTTGCTGAACCTTGAGGAACCTTTCATTTTTAAGAGTGCATCAGGGCCTGTCTTCTAGAATGAATGAATGATGCATTTATATAGCGCTTTATTGTGTATTGTTGTACATCCAAAGCGCTTTGCAATCATGTGGGGGGTCTCTCCTCAACCACCACCAGTGTCCAGCATCCACTTGGAGGATGCGACGGCAGCCACAGGACAGCAGCGCCAGTGCGCTCACCACACACCAGCTACAGGTGGAGAGGAGAGAAAGTCATAGAGCCAATCAAGTGGTTGTAGCCTCACGCTTTATATGTTATTTGGCTTAAACACTGTCTTGGGCAAGAATATAAGGAAATATCTCAATTTGACCATGCCTTAACCCTTTATACATGTTTCGTAACCATTTAATCCCACAGTTTTTGAATAAGCACATGAATTTTACTTCTTGAATAGAACAAAGATTTAAGTAATGATTCAAAGTAATGAAATGATGTGTTTTATGGGACACCGTTGCTACAGATAGAAAACTTGAGGCAAAGTTGCTCAATTATACTCAATAGATTGCAGAGTAACAATATAATCCAATAAAAATGTCATTTTTGACTCATTTAATGTAACACTTTGAGATCTATAGTTTTATAATGTGAATAAATCAGTTATTCAAAACAGGCCTTCCACAAATTTGATCAATAGCATGTTTAGCCACATTGGGACTAATTCTACCAATTTTGTTTATGTAATTTTACTACATTAATAACAGAACCTTTAAATATTACTAAATATAATCGCCATATTTGTATTATGACATATTTCACCTTCATTTGATCTTTCAGGAAGGACAAAGTCTGTTCATATCAAAAACCTTCACATGAAATCCTTTTCATTTACAGTTGAGAACGATCTGTACATCTGTTCGAGAAAATTGTCAAAAAGCGGTGGGGATAGGAGAGATTAAATGCGTTAGAAACATTGGAATGTGTCGATAAATGGTCGACCTTTTAAAACCATACGTTTCTTTCTACCCGTTTATAAAAATTGCATATTAATTTCACGCTTGGATTGTTTGTGACATCGGAGCGTTTTAATTCTAGCGGAACGCCAACGCGAAAAACTGGAGGAGGTGCGGGGGCGCGCGTAAAAGAGCGCGCACAGCTGTCAGCACCAAGGACAGCGCTCCGCCGCAGAACAACAGCCGACGCGCAGAGACGCATCACTGATTTCTGCTGCCAGCCTTCATGTAGTATTTGCTCTGCCTGTCTGCAGCCTGACTTAACAGGGGGAATTAAGAGAAAGGCTGCAGTGAATGCCGCTTCTCTCAGATGCCATCGCCTAATTGAACCGGGCACCATGAACGGATCGCCGCAGTGTGTGTGAATTTCGTACCTGGGGTTTTTTAAAGTCTAAAACCGCCACACTGGACATTGCTTTCATTCTTAACAAGCGAATAGCTCAAACAAGAGCCTCCGGCAGCACTAAGAAGACAAGACACTGGGAGTCTCCGTGCGCACTTCTGGCCCTCCACACGATGCGTCTGCTTCTGCTGGCCGCGTTATTCTCCTGCTCCTGCGTGCGGGGCGGCTGCGAGCCCAAGATTGTGAACATCGGAGCCGTCCTGAGCCAGAAGAGATACGAGCAGGTGTTCAAGGATGCGGTCACTCAGGCGAACCAGGTGTACGGAAGGGATAAATTCAAGTTGACCGCCATCTCTGTCACTCACAAAGCGAATGCGATTCAGATGGCGCTGTCTGTGTGTGAGGATCTCATTTCCAGTCAGGTGGGATTTTTAGTATCAGCGCTGCACTGTGGCATTTTCATGTGGCGAGATCCAGTATTAAATCAAATGACTTAAAATTTGCTTGAGGGGTAAACATGTTAATGCGATATGCACCACTCAGATTGAATTAATTTGTTTGGCTTTAATAAGGCAGTGTTTTTTTAAGCATGATATTATCCATTACAAGTACCATTATTTAGGTTATTGAAAAGTGTTTCATTAAATATGCAAATATATTCATTAGAAAGAGCTATATACTGATGCCAACTAATAATTTCTAAACATTTATTGCACTGTAAAACTGCAATAAATACCCTATTTATCCTTTACAAAATTTTGTTTAGATACTTTATGTATTCAGTTGATTTAGTCATAATAAATCATATTTTTGACGAGTACAATTAAATGAAATGCATATTATAGGTTAGACAATTTTTAAATATTTTATATATATATATATATATATATATATATATATATATATATATATATATATATATATATATATATATATATATATATATGTGTGTGTGTGTGTGTGTGTGTGTGTATCGAGAGAGAGAGAGAGAGAGAGAGAGAGAGAGAGATCAGATGCAAAAGCCTCTAAGTGCAGTCAGAAATTTTCTTCTAAAGTTAGCATTTATCTCAGGCTCCTATGTTAATGTTCAGTTATTTCACTTTAATAGCAATGAAAACAACCTATTTATTGCAATTAAAGTGAAATTACTGAACCTACACATAGGAGCCTGATAAAAATGCTAATTTTAGAAGAAATTTTCAAATGGCACTTAGAGGCTTTCTCTCTCTCTCTCTCTCTCTCTCTATTTATATACACACACACACATACATATATAAAGAATATATATATATATATATAAGTATAAATACTAAATAAATAGTGAGGGTGTAAGTCATTTTAAAAAATGCTGAAAATAAAAGGAACCATGTTTACATATTCTGGCCTTAAAATATAACCTAATGTAGTACTGTTGATTCACTCACATTCAATATAGTTTTTGACTTGAATAAAACCCATTAAATTGGATGTTATCACATAAAGCACATATTTTTAGGCTAGCCAACAAAACAGTTTTACAGTATAGGCACTGACCTGTGGAGACTTACTTGTACAGTTGAACTTGGTTTGGATTGTGGCAGTAGATTGAAGCTGCCTAATTCGTTTAGATGTCTAAACAGGACAGCCTGTCAGATGATGATCCAAGCAGGTCGATGGACTCACGGTGGGAGGAAAGGTTAACGTACTGTAGCTGACCCCACAGAGCTTTGATGTTAGGAATGAGTTCGATGACGATGCTGGCCGAGGGCAGCAGCTGCAAAACAAACTAGGTGACGCATGAAAAATCAATGATTTTCAATGCAAGCCATTTCTATTTTCACAGAGTATTTCTGTGCTTGATAAAAATAAAGATGGGGGTGGAAGGGTCAGCATGGCATCGGTATCTGCAAACTGCAAAATGTCTTTGGGAGAGGAAGCTACTGCAAGTCAGAAATGCTAGAGACATACAGCTAATGTTCATTATAAATACACCATATGAATACTAATGTTTACTATAAATACAGCATAAAGAGTGGAAATGCGCAACCACATTTTCATTTTCTACCCATAAAAATTACATTTGTTGGTATAAAATAATGTAGTCGGGATAGATAGATAGATTAATCTGCTCTTAAAACGATCACCACTCAGTTCTAAGTTTTTTTATGCCATGTTATATCCTGAGAAGTGTAAGAGGAGAAACCATGATGTACTGCAGTAGCAATGCCCTAAATGAAGTGTAAATGAGAGACATTTTCACTAGTGAATAACTACTGTCACACTCGTGGGAGTAATTCTGCCTGATGCTTTGTTTCATTAAAAGCCCGCACACGCAAAAATCACATTACACAGTTCCGCTTTAAGTGCTCTCTGGGCCGGTGATATCATTACAAATGTGCTGAGGTAGGAGTCTATCTCAGGCCTGGATATTGCACTGAACAAAAACTGGGTTGAACATGAATCTCTCTCTCTCCCGTCCTGCTCATGGTGCTCCTTTGTTCATTCTCTCACTAATATTCACACCAACCTCCCTGGTCAACACAGTGGGTGTCTAGTGCTTAATTATGAGCCGTAACAAATTTGAGCCGTAAGGTTGTGTAGCTAGTTAGCAGGATGTCAGGATAATTGCTGAATTAATTTCTTGGTTGTGTGAGATTGTTCCATGCGAAACTGCTGTATCTCTCAGTCTTAGCGCCTTTGGCACAGTGATGTCTCTGCCCACTCTGAAGACATTCTGTGACAGATGGAGCCGATGCCGGAGGGTCTCTCTGGAAACACAATGTTTTTCTCCATTGTTGGTTTTCCTTCTTAATACAGCATATTTTTTGAAAAACAAAAACATGTTTATATATGCCAGATTCCTCTTTGTCTCTTATGCTCCCTTGAGTCCAACCAAACATCCTTCATCATCAATCAATCAAATGGTCAATCTGTCTGACTGTGATAGATTTATTCACAGACCGAGGCCAGATCCATGAGTCATAGCGATCACTCCTCTGTGATCCAGTCTTGACAGCTAGTTTGCATTTAAACCAGTTCTGTGATCATATTCGCAGGTGTACGCCATCCTGGTGAGCCATCCACCACAGTCCAATGACCATCTGACGCCCACTCCGGTCTCCTACACCGCAGGATTTTACCGAATACCTGTAGTAGGGCTTACCACCAGGATGTCCATTTACTCAGACAAGGTGGGCTGCAATGAGAGAGAAATTTAATTATTCAATTTCAGTATGAAACATTTTGGGTATTGATGAGTGTTTATTCAACTATGGGGTCTAAATCAATTCCCACACTATGACTAGTTTGTCTGTTAACATAAAAATGACAAAAGTTCAGCTTGATTAGAAAAGACCCAAATTAAAAAATATCTTGCTGACAAGTGATATTTACAGATCATTTTTTTATTAATAGTTGGGATTTTTAGTTACTCTATATCTACAGGTTCAGCTGTTATGCAAGTGGGTGAATCTTTTTATGACTGATTCAGTGAACAACCAATTCAACAAATCAACCGATTTGTTTAAAACATCGATTAATTCAAGAACACAGAATTAGTGGCTGTCTTTATGATTAAGTCATTGAATCATTCATTTAAATGATTCATTCAAATCTTTGAGTCATTCAGGAACGAAATAAGTGATTGTCTTCATGCTACCAATTTGTTCAGAAATGCAGATTCATTTAGTAATGAAACAATTGACTTGTTTGTGAAATACCTATATTTTATTTTTTATTCATTTTCACACAATAACTACTGAAACAGATCATCTTAGTTTTTAAAATGTAATATTTTTATGATATAATATTATAAATACAAAACAATGAAATCTATAAAACAGAACTGAACAATCTTTTAAAATAAATAATGACAAATAATCCTGAAACTATGGAAGATTGTTTCCGCCACAGAATAAAAAAAAGAAGAAAAAAAAAGGTGATTACATCTTTTGTATCTCAGTTCGGACTTATTTTTCTTTTCAGAATTGCGATAAACTCGCAATTCTGTATGAGTTTATCGCAAAACTCGCAATTATGTGAAAAAAAGAATTGTGAGATGTTTATATATAAGTTTATATCTTGCAATTCTGAAATGTTTTCTAAAAATTCCAAGAAAAAATTCTGAATTGTGAGATAAAGTGATGCAATTACATTTTTTAAATGATGTGTCCCAACTTTCTTCTTTTTCTTTCTACCCTTCTACCAGTAGCAAAAATAAAAAAAAATTATAAATAAAAAAAGTTGGAAAAAAAAATCCTGTAGTTGAAGAAACACTTTTATTATTTCACTCAAAAAAAAAACTGTCATTTTAAACTTTGTCTCCTACATTCTTTTCTCTGTACCCTTCTTCCAGAGCATCCATCTCTCATTCCTCCGCACAGTTCCACCCTATTCCCACCAGGCACATGTGTGGTTTGACATGATGCGGGAGTTCCGCTGGAATCACATCATTCTAATCGTCAGCGACGACCATGAAGGCAGAGCGGCACAGAAAAGACTAGAAACTCTTCTGGAGGAGAGAGAGACCAAGGTAAGCTATTCCCAGTTCCAGGATTCCCAGTGCGTGCTTGTATGCAAGCGTGTGTGTATCAATCGCAAAAGTCTTCTATGTACGTAACTGTTTTACTTTTTTGTCATGTGATCACATCTCTCATGCCATGTTGTAAATGTTGGCTAACATTCTAAAACCAAAGGCGTCAGCCATGTCTAATGTGGTCTGATTTGACGTAACGTGCGTTATTTGCTCATTTCATGTTGCTTTCTACCATAGTCAAAAACTCCACAACAGGAGCAAAATGAAAACCTTAACCTGGGGCGTTGCAAAGCATCAGTGACTTTTTGAACATATTTATGCTATGTTATACACTGGTATTTTTGTAGCCTTGAGCCACAGATATGATCCTTGCAATTGGCGAGTCTATCGTCAGTGTCTCTTGAGATGCTTTAGAGCTGATTGCTTCATAAATACAGTGGTGCATTGTGGGAATTTTGCTCTTGATCTTTTTATGACTGATTCAGTGAACAACCAATTCAACAAATCAACCGATTTGTTTAAAACATCGATTAATTCAAGAACACAGAATTAGTGGCTGTCTTTATGATTAAGTCATTGAATCATTCATTTAAATGATTCATTCAAATCTTTGAGTCATTCAGGAACGAAATAAGTGATTGTCTTCATGCTACCAATTTGTTCAGAAATGCAGATTCATTTAGTAATGAAACAATTGACTTGTTTGTGAAATACCTATATTTTATTTTTTATTCATTTTCACACAATAACTACTGAAACAGATCATCTTAGTTTTTAAAATGTAATATTTTTATGATATAATATTATAAATACAAAACAATGAAATCTATAAAACAGAACTGAACAATCTTTTAAAATAAATAATGACAAATAATCCTGAAACTATGGAAGATTGTTTCCGCCACAGAATAAAAAAAAAATTAAAAAAAGGTGATTACATCTTTTGTATCTCAGTTCGGACTTATTTTTCTTTTCAGAATTGCGATAAACTCGCAATTCTGTATGAGTTTATCGCAAAACTCGCAATTATGTGAAAAAAAGAATTGTGAGATGTTTATATATAAGTTTATATCTTGCAATTCTGAAATGTTTTCTAAAAATTCCAAGAAAAAATTCTGAATTGTGAGATAAAGTGATGCAATTACATTTTTTAAATGATGTGTCCCAACTTTCTTCTTTTTCTTTCTACCCTTCTACCAGTAGCAAAAATAAAAAAAAATTATAAATAAAAAAAGTTGGAAAAAAAAATCCTGTAGTTGAAGAAACACTTTTATTATTTCACTCAAAAAAAAAACTGTCATTTTAAACTTTGTCTCCTACATTCTTTTCTCTGTACCCTTCTTCCAGAGCATCCATCTCTCATTCCTCCGCACAGTTCCACCCTATTCCCACCAGGCACATGTGTGGTTTGACATGATGCGGGAGTTCCGCTGGAATCACATCATTCTAATCGTCAGCGACGACCATGAAGGCAGAGCGGCACAGAAAAGACTAGAAACTCTTCTGGAGGAGAGAGAGACCAAGGTAAGCTATTCCCAGTTCCAGGATTCCCAGTGCGTGCTTGTATGCAAGCGTGTGTGTATCAATCGCAAAAGTCTTCTATGTACGTAACTGTTTTACTTTTTTGTCATGTGATCACATCTCTCATGCCATGTTGTAAATGTTGGCTAACATTCTAAAACCAAAGGCGTCAGCCATGTCTAATGTGGTCTGATTTGACTTAACGTGCGTTATTTGCTCATTTCATGTTGCTTTCTACCATAGTCAAAAACTCCACAACAGGAGCAAAATGAAAACCTTAACCTGGGTCATTGCAAAGCATCAGTGACTTTTTGAACATATTTATGCTATGTTATACACTGGTATTTTTGTAGCCTTGAGCCACAGATATGATCCTTGCAATTGGCGAGTCTATCGTCAGTGTCTCTTGAGATGCTTTAGAGCTGATTGCTTCATAAATACAGTGGTGCATTGTGGGAATTTTGCTCTTCACGTGTTTTTTGTTACGTTGAGACGTTACTTTTCCCTTTTTTATGATTTAAATGAAGAATGGATTTCTTTTGAACGATTATTATTTCCGTTTCAGAAAAAAATAAAAGCGCTCCGCTTCTTTCATTACCATTTTTTCCTTTTTAATAAAGGATGATGCATGATTCAGAATTTTAAAAAAGCAAGCCCATTCTTTGTGGAGATCCGATAGTTTGGGACACAACACTCAGATTCTACTTCCTATTGCAGCATCCCCTCGTTGCTCTTTTTTTCTCGACTCTTTTTTTTTGGGGGAAATGACTTCCTCTCACCTGTCACTCCCCTTTCCACCTGGTTTTAGTTTCCGGTTGCATCGGTCTCACTCCCCGAAACCTCTAACATGCACGTCCTTCTCTGAAGCCTTGATAACCCTCAGTTTGCATGCGACAATGCCGAATTTTTTTTGGTGTTTTTCAAGCTTTTTTATTCTTTTATTTTTCATTTTGAAGCAGTTTCCTTGGAACTCTATAATTTTCCCCCTTTTCAGCCCTAGAAAAGAAAAAAAAATAAACAGAAACAACCAAACCAACCAAAAGTGCTAAATGAGGCAGCATGGTTCAGTTACGGAAGTAAATAGCCTCTTTGACCGATTGTGTACCCCAATCTCAGGCCGAGAAAGTGCTTCAATTCAACCAAGAGACTAACTTAACTGCCCTGCTTCTGGAGGCCAAAGAGCTGGAGGCCCGAGTGATCATTCTCTCTGCCAGGTAAGAGGTTTACTGCATGATGCTATCTCAGCAGCGCACCAAAATCTCTGCACTTCACTCTTCACTGTACCTGCAAAAGTAAAATGAATCAGAATGAGTCATCCATATATTTAATATACATTTCACCCTGCTGAATAGACAACCATATGTTGTGTTTTGGTTGCTTGTGTTTCTTAAAGGAATATTCTAGGTTCAATATAAGATTAAGGTTAAATCAACAGCATTTGTGGCTTAATGCTGATTACCACAAAAATAAGTTCCACTTGTTCTTCCTTTTCTTAAAATAAAATAAAATAAACAATTACCTTTTCGGTGTCAGGTTATATTCACTCTAACCATTTTGTTTTCTTTTTTGTTGTAATCAACAAGTCACAAATGCTTTTGATTGAGGAACTTGTTCTGAACCTGGAAAATAATTAGCTTAACTAGCAAGAAGTAGCAACAACCTTTGCAGTACCTGCTATAATGGTCGACCAGCACAAAACTAGCACTAACCAGTTTCTTTTTTCAGCAGGACAGACCTTAGAACACTTTGAAATAAATAATACTGAAAAGTCAAAGCAATGGGTTTACAAAACAATTTCATACTTCAGTAAGCTTCTCGTATTTCTGTCAGCGGTTGTAAACCTGTCTGTCTGCCTTTAGCGAGGAAGATGCAGCCGCCGTGTACAAAACAGCACGCTTCCTCAACATGACAGGCTCAGGCTATGTATGGCTGGTCGGGGAGCGTGAGATGTCCGGTAAAGCTTTGAGCGAGGCCCCTGACGGTACGTGAACCCACCTTGGTACAACTGAGACAGGCAGAGGAAAAGAAGCCATTTGTCTCAGTTTCTCTGATAAACTAGACTAGAGGTTTTATCGATGAAGCGAGTAGTGGATGTTAGTGTGTATGTATAAATTAACCGTTTAAACATTTAAGCACTTTATGTGTTTAAAGGTTTTAAACGAGTCACTTTAGATTACACAATAATGGTTGTGTTCTCTGGCTCACTGGCAAGCTTAATTACAATACTGAACTTAACATTGACCTCTAGAGGTTTAATTAATAAGTTACCATAAAAATGTCTTTGTCATGAAGTAGTTTTTTTTTAAATTAAAAATGTGTTAACTCATAGAGTGTGGTTTTATCATATTATGTTATTATATTAATAGTCTGGCTTTTGTGAATTTAAAAAGGGTGTTTTTTCAACCCTCCCTTTGACGTGTTTCTGGTATTGGTAAGCTATAAATGGCCTTTTTATGTCCCAGGCACTTCACAAGTTTTTAAAGTTCACACTATTGTCGTTGTCGCTCCCAATACACTTGCTCACCTTTTACCCTGCCAGTGTTTTTCTTGTCTTTGTCCTCATTTATGACACTTGTGGAGTCTTCACAGTAATCTTTTGGAGATCTCTTACAGAACTGGATCTTTCAAACCCTGCTCCAATAACAACAAAAACTCAGTTGAAGTTGGATTTATGTGTGAAGTATACCTTAAATCTGATATATTTCATCAATCAGTGTGTGTTAGCGTCTCACAACTGGACAGGACTTACCACAGTTTGGCCGTAGGTGGCGCTAGTGGGCTTAGTTCAGTAAATCCAACCTCAAGGGTCAAAGCTTGCATTTTGGGCAAACTGCCTCAAGTAGCATGCTGTGAAGAACAAAACATTAATTTTACATTCCGATTGACTACTACCAGTAGAAAAGTCTGACAAAACATGACTTGACATCTGATTTGAGAGTCATTTACCTATGCTGGCTCAAAGGGTGACCCTATGGGTTTTTTTTGTGTTGGAAAGGGCTCCTAAATGTCAAGGGTGAACAGCTCACTGATTAATTTTTAACATCAACACATAGGGCTGATTGGCCTCCAGCTCATCAATGGTAAGAATGAATCGGCGCACATCAGTGATGCCGTTGCTGTCGTAGCCCAGTCCATCCAAGAGCTCTTTGAGAAAGAGAACATCACAGAACCTCCAAGGGGTTGTGTGGGCAATACCAACATCTGGAAGACCGGGCCACTTTTTAAAAGGTCAGTACCACTAAAGATCATCGTGCTTGAGGGTGCATCCGTGTCATTCTTTGATGGATTTTGACAACCACAGACTGTGATCTAACGCACTGTCACAACACATGATATTTCATCTATGCATATTTTTCATGCATCACATTCACATACAAAAAGTTACTCACAGGTCAGTACTGGCTGTGCTCCACAGGGTACTGATGTCTTCCAAGTACCCAGAGGGCCTAACAGGACGCGTTGAGTTCAATGATGACGGTGACAGAAAATACGCTCATTACAGCATTCTCAACTACCAGAAGAGCAGACTGATTCAAGTCGGCATTTACAATGGAACACAAGTACTAGTCTTTTCTTTCACAGACATGGGTCCTTAATCTTGCATTAGTTCCTGTGAGTCATACAAAAATAAATCTGACAAAAATACAGAGTTTTAAAGTCAACACTAAGTCATAGTATTCACATAATTGTATTCAAATCCGACCCCGTAATGGCACTTTTGGAATCTATGCTAATTATTTTAGATTAGAGGATTGAACAAAGATTATGATTATGAATATACGCCTGTTAATTATCTGCTTCATCAGGTGGTGATGAATAAACAGAGGAAGATTATTTGGCCTGGAGGTGAAACAGAAAGACCGAGAGGATTCCAGATGTCTACTCGATTAAAGGTACAGGGTTCACTACATCTATCCAAAACTTGCTAATAATTTAGGGTCATGAATCAGAAATTACCTGAAAGTGATTGATGCCACATAGGAAAGCTGAACAAAATCCCATCCATCTATTGCAGATAGTGACCATTCATCAGGAACCCTTTGTGTATGTGAAGCCAACTACGCTGGAAGGGACCTGCAAGGAAGAGTACACACCTAATGGGGTCTTAATTAAAAAGGTGATCTGCACTGGACCAAATGAGACCATCCCAGGTAACACATCAGGGACGTTTAGGTCACTGTGCTTTTCTACATCCGCCGTCTGGAGATACATACATACATACATACATATATATGCAGCAGGTATTTATATATGTATGAATGTAGCAAGTGTGTCCGTGGTATGTGTGTTTTATGTTGTGTGTGACTATTTTTGCTAAATGCAAAATGTACGCATGTGTTTTTTTGTGTGTGAGTCGCTTGGGCTTCTGTCATGCCGTTCCGCTTTGCATATAGTGACAGCTGACAGCTGTATATATGTGCCTTGTGTCCCAGCCTATATAATCTACAGGTAAAGTGTGAAAGTCAATATGGAAGGATTGTATTCCTTTTAAATGTTGATGCTCCCATCTGGCTGTTGCATCTGTCTGAGATCAGAATGGATGGAAAAATACATCCATTCCAACCACAAGAGTTGTGGCTACTTCAATTCAGCCAGTACCATAGATGAATTGAAAATTAATTCACATAGCTCGTTAATATTTTATTCCATTATCATCTGCAAAAAAATCTATGACTGGCTGAGTAGCAGAGCGGTAGATGAATTAATAGAAAATGAATTTATCAGACCTCAATGCTGTCTATAGCAGTTAAGAGCATACACCATCTAAAAGAGAAACACAATCTCTGAATGAGTGAGTGATTTTAGCATTGGGGTGAGTGAACTGAGAATGGTGGGCTTTCTAAATATTGACCTTTCAATTTTGTCAGATGGAATGAAATTTCACTTTTTCTGGTTTGGTTACAGGACGCCCAATTGTTCCCCAGTGTTGCTACGGATTCTGCGTTGACCTTCTGATCAAATTGGCAATGACCATGAACTTCACCTATGAAGTACACCTGGTGGCAGATGGGAAATTCGGAACACAAGAAAGGGTGAGCTCACTTTCACGTTATGCCAAGTACAGGCAAGATGATTGTCATAAGATTGCTTTCTACTTATCTTTTGGTGATATAGGTAAATAACAGTAACAAGAAGGAATGGAATGGTATGATGGGCGAGCTCCTGGGTGGCCTTGCTGATATGATCGTTGCACCCTTGACGATCAACAATGAACGAGCCCAGTACATAGAATTCTCCAAGCCTTTCAAATACCAGGGACTGACTATCCTTGTTAAAAAGGTATGATTACACTACTCAAAATACCACATTCTATGTACTTTAGTTACAGATCATCAGTATAGCCTTTTTGAAAAAAAAGTCACCACTTGCTACTGTAGCCTCATGACAGTATTGCTAGTACCTACCAGAGCTGGTACTGAAATGTGCTAAATTTATGTTAGTGATCATGCAATGTGTGTTTCAGGAAATACCTCGCAGTACACTGGACTCATTCATGCAGCCATTCCAGAGCACACTGTGGCTACTGGTGGGTCTATCGGTGCATGTGGTGGCGGTGATGCTTTACCTACTAGACCGGTTCAGGTACAACAAGACGTTGGATTGAGAGTGTGGCTACCTGTTCTATGTATGTCCATGGGGTGGCTGAATGCACATGTTGTTTGTTCTTTTAGGTAGTTTGTTTCACTCATTGGGATCATGTAGCACCTTTGTTTCAGGATGTCTCCACAGTACATGAGAGTGCTGAACATGTTTCATTGTCATTGTCGCCATGGAGGTGGGGGAGGTTGGGTGGCTGTACTCTGTGAGCCTGTTCTTTTTTCCCTCTCGATCTGTCTTTTCCTGTCTGTCCTCTGTCTCTTTGCCATGCTTCACATCCGTTATAGTTCTCTCTATGGTCTCTGCAATCTGGTCAATGCTAAGTGACTTGGGATACTGGAGCACTTATTTATTTGAAGACTACTTATATGGGTTCTTTGCCTATTCTCTTTCTGAACATTTTCACTGTTTGACCTGGTTTTCCCAGCCCATTTGGAAGGTTTAAAGTAAACAGTGAAGAAGAAGAGGAGGATGCCCTCACCTTATCTTCAGCTATGTGGTTTTCCTGGGGCGTCTTGTTGAACTCTGGAATTGGAGAAGGTGATGTGAAAGTCAAACTTTGTTTTTAAGATCATATTAAATTAAATGAGTTTTACTTGACATATGTTTGACTACTACTGTACTTAACACATGTTGTCCAGGTGCCCCACGTAGTTTTTCAGCGAGAATCTTAGGAATGGTGTGGGCTGGCTTTGCTATGATTATAGTAGCATCCTATACTGCCAACCTGGCTGCCTTCCTGGTGTTGGACCGGCCTGAGGAGCGCATCACCGGCATCAATGACCCAAGGGTATGCTTCTCTAAGCACTTGAACTACCAAAGTAAAGGTTTTCAAAATGCATAGTGAGTTTGCATTTTTTTTCCAGCTAAGGAACCCATCAGACAAGTTCATCTATGCCACAGTGAAGCAAAGTTCGGTGGATATTTACTTCCGGCGACAAGTTGAGCTGAGCACCATGTACCGCCACATGGAGAAGCACAACTACGAAAGCGCCGCTGAAGCCATCCAGGCTGTTCGGGACAAGTGAGTCCCTGCTGGGTAGACACCAGCAGGTCTGGCCTCATGGTCAGTCAATCAGTCAGTCAGTCTTGAGGGTCCTGGGCCTGCAGGTCTCAGGTATATAAATCAGTGCCAGCACTTACTGCACTAACCTGCGACCCTGGTCCATAACCCCACACAGGAGAGGCCCAGCTATGTGCCACACATAACATATATTAACATTGAGCTAAAGAACACCTTTTTCAGGTTTCAGCAAAAACGTCATTGAGGGAATCCAATGGGGGACAAAGCTCCACTCGTCCGGCATTGGATTTCATTTGCCTATGATGTGGCAGTCTAGTTTTCTGGTAACACAAGTTGCACAAGAGGGGTGGGTGGGGTCAGGTGCCACGAGTGTGTTGTTTCTCACTGTATTGTTGCACCGTAACCCCCCACCCTTCCCGTCCTCCTCCCTTCCCCCTGCCCCAACAGCAAGCTGCATGCTTTCATCTGGGACTCTGCGGTGCTGGAGTTTGAAGCCTCGCAGAAGTGCGACCTGGTGACCACGGGAGAGCTGTTTTTCCGTTCGGGCTTTGGCATAGGCATGCGCAAGGACAGCCCCTGGAAACAGAATGTGTCCCTGGCTATTCTCAGGTCTGTCCCAGCCGAAGCAGCATATCGTACGCTTCTGTATAGTTTTATGTTGTATAAAATCTCACCATTGGACACTTACTCATCTCTCTCTGTGTATTTCCCCTCTTTCATCCCTGCTCTGTTGTCTGTGTGCTTGATCATATACGTGTTTGTGTGTATGTGCTGGTGGTTGTGGTGACTTTGTGGGATTTATCGGTACTTTCTACCAAAAACAACTTTTGAACTTCTCTTCCTGCTCTCCACCACCCCTTGCAGTTCCCATGAGAATGGCTTCATGGAGGACCTAGATAAAACCTGGGTGAGATACCAGGAGTGTGACTCAAGGAGCAATGCCCCAGCCACACTCACCTTTGAGAATATGGCAGGTATGGGCCATTTCAGGTACAGAGAGACCTAAAAGAGATTGGACAAAAAAGGTACAGTAGGTAAGGTATTGGGGCCTTTTTTGTCCAATGCTTTTAGTTGTCGTTTTATGCTCACCTGTGTTGGTGTTCACATTTGTAACAAAACTCATTAACCTTTAACATCCATCCATTTTGCATGGTTTTCAGCAGCAGGCCCCGCATATATGGGCAATACATGTAGGATTCCATCACACAGAGGCTCCACCCCCTCCAGCTCCTCAGTGGGTTGATTCGAAGAATACTGTGTCTGCATTAATCGTCTGACAGTTTCATTCATCCCTCTCATTCACAGGTGTCTTCATGCTAGTTGCTGGAGGCATTGCAGCTGGGATCTTCCTCATTTTCATCGAGATTGCATATAAGCGCCATAAAGACGCCCGCAGGAAGCAGATGCAGCTAGCCTTTGCGGCCGTCAATGTTTGGAGGAAGAACCTACAGGTAAGGTAGCTCTCTCCTACAACACAAGAGGTAAAAAGAAGGGTGAACATGAGGGAATGACCTCCCAACCGACTTTTACATAAGAACCACTTTTTGTACTAGGGCTTTAGTTCACAAGTTTTTCATTCATACCTCTGCTAAAAACAGATCTTTGGTTGCACTGTTTGGTGTGGGGACCAAAGGTGGACGATCTCCATTGTGTGTTCTTAGGCATCTAAAAGGGCCTGGAATTGTCTAGGCTGCTCTGGTTCAATCAGCCTCCTTCTTCTTGTCTGTCCCAACAGGACAATAAGGAGAGCTCAGGGAGTCAAGCTGTGGGTGCGGCTGGGACTCCATCTTTAGTATGTAAAACAAGCTGATCCATCTTGTTGCCACGCCATCCTTGCTACGCGAATCAGTATATTTAAAATAGCTGATATGCTTAGTTATTCATCAGAATATGAAGCTGCTTTCATGGCATGAACCACTTAAATGCTTCAAACCACTTAGTGTATCACAGTTAGATGAAATATAGATACCTGAAGATGATGTAGGCTGCCAAAATAATGTTTGCGATATAAAAAGGTAATCTTGATTAGGTACTGCTAGTATACATCATCAAGCTATGCTAAAGAGAACAGGAAGCTAGTAAAAAAAAAACAGGACAGAGCACTAATTGGTAATCAGATATAGATGTTAGTCCTAGCCTCAAACTGTGATGAGTCTTTGCTAATATTATTTAAAAACAGGAGTAATAATATGACATTAAACATATTATAGAAGTAAATATTTAAAAAGCCCTATCCAGCACATCCATACTATAGTCTAACACAGTCCAACTGAAATGTCTGCTACAAAATTTTGCTCACCTGCGTGTCCATTAAGACCGATGTTTTCTAGTAAGAAGTCCAGGGAGGTCTTCCCAATGGGACTGTGATATTTGGTGAGGGGTGGGCCAGCGGGGTGGGAGCTGGGTAGAAGTACAGTGAGGCTGTGAGAGCCTCAAGCTGCTTCTTTATTCAAAATCACAAAAGGTCAGAACTGCTGCAATAGAATAAACAGCAGTAGCAGTGAAAGGTAAGATCACAGTAGCTTGTCTTTGTGAGCAGGTCAATTTACTGTCAATGTCTGTCATCTGCCTCACATGTATAGTTGTCTTTGTATGTATATGCATGTAGGCTTATATGCAGAAAGGTCAAGCAAACACAAAAACACTTTAAATTTGGAGTCTAGAAGACCTATGCCAGATCAAACTGAACGTTTGATTTAAATATAAAACATTAGTTAGTATGGATCAATCCCTGTGGCATTTCATGTTTTCTTGTCAGCTCTTCCTTTCTGTATAGGAATTTACACAATTTTTTTGATGGTGATATCTTTGCGAGCTTGAGTATAAATATAAATGTTTTGTGTGAGTCCTTCTAAATGAATGTCCATATTCAAACTCCCCATTTGCACTTGTGTATACTGCACCTTCATAAAGGGAACTGCGTGTAACCCACACACACTGCACTTCTGAATAACCTGCCCAATAAGAAAACCAATGGAAACACTGAAAAATGGATGATGCAAAACTAAATGAAGGGTGAATGTGCTCTCATGAGATACTATGTCAAAGCTTGCAGCCAGTTACGTGTCTCACTGTGCCGGTGGTCTATGTGGGTCCAGCATGCTAAATGCACAGACAGTGCTCTGACCACAGCCAAATAGGGCTTATTAATATTTTTTCTTTGTTAAAAGCACAAAATTGATGCAGGACAAACAAGAGTGTGTTTAGCAAAGTTGTTCTTAGATTGCAAAGACATTGTGGTAAGTCCCAAAGTGGTAGACTTTTTAATATGTAGCAGGGGTCAAATGATGTTCAGAAACTTTTAAAGGACCGCAACAAATATGAAGATGATCCTGAGAGTTTTCCATCAGCCAAAGTCAACTGAATGCTTGTCCACATTTTGCTTACTTTATCCACACCCGTGCTCCTTCTGCTCTCTGCATGAATTTAAATGAAATTCACACCACATTTAACCCAACTCCCTGACACCCTAGAGTACATTACTTACTGTATGTGTGGTGTGGATTTCCGTTATACCCTACAAAAAGTATAACGCTCAGAGGGTTCTTATAAGTATTCATGTATTGATCAGTATTACTTCATATCCTGTGCTCTTTTGGCATTTTATTGGTTGCTCTACTTCCCTATAAGAGTGTTGTTTTGTTTTGTGATATTACAGACTGCTTGGCTTTTATGTCATTATTTCCTCAGCAAACCCATGTTGCTGCCTTCTGCTTTTGCTTATGGATCTTAAAGTCATATGATCTTTAAAGCAAGTGGATAAATATTCATTTATTTTTCTTTTTTCCTCCCCAATGCAGCCCTCTTCCTCTGTAGAGACTCAGGATGTAAGAATACCTTAATTCGACCTTTTCTTACACAAACACACCCAGTCTTGTGCTATACCTTCGTACCCTTTGTAGAGGCCAGAGAGTAGCCGTGTGGGGCACATTTGTTGGACAGTGGGAGGGAAGTGGGCAAAAAGGTCCCAATCTTCTTTTGTGCCTAAAACCACAAAGTGTTAAAAAGAAGTATTTATGAAACAGCACAAAACAGATGCCAAGGAAGATCATTTGGGAATTCGAAAGTGCTGCCACTTCATGCAACCAAATCGGTTGCATCTGTTACTACCAATTCTTAGTCTCTTTGAATCAAACAAGTCTGACTTCCATTCATATTTATAGATCGTTGGGTTTAAGATAGCTTATCAATGGGGAACGAGGGGATGTGGTTTTGGCAGTTGAAAACCAGCCAGAGAACATGAATAATTGTTCTACGTATATTTATTTTAGGATAGGAAAAGTGGTAGAGCAGACAGCGACCCAAAAAAGAAACCCTCTTTTAGGTCCATCAGTACCACCCTGGCCTCCAGCATCAAGAGACGTAGGTCCTCCAAAGACACGGTAAGGAGGTTAAGGAATGGCATCTCTTTTTACTCGGCCGGTCTCTCTTCCTCTTTCTGCGTCTGTCTTTCTCTCGTCCTATTCTTCTGCTCCTCTCTCTGTATCTACTTTCTTCTGTCTTAAACGACATGTCATGTCTGAAACCAAGAGAGCCGCATTTCTCTCTGGTTATTCCTCCATTCCTGGCATCTCGGCCACGGCCACGTGTCTGTCAGTCAGTCATCGAGTCACCATCCAGACCCCATCTGTCAGTTAGGACTTAAGAGCTCAGCCATCCTTAAGAGTTAAGCTGAAAGGTTTTAGGACCCAGTGATCAGGGAAAAGGTTCTAACCTAAGAGCTGTTCCAAGAGGAGGGGGCGCTGCACAATGCCTGATGTTTCTGGGCTGCTTCTCTCCCTATTGCAACCTCTGGATGTGGAGTGTGTGTTAGTGCGGGTGGACGTGTGTGACTCTTTTTGGTGGGATGTGTTGTGCGTATTTGTGTGTTTCTCGTCCCCAAACCTGCCTGATGTTATTGATATGAACAGTCAAATCTTGCGATGTTTGTTTCCCCGACGGCATGCTTTGGTGTTGTGGTGTTTGATCAGAGCAACCGATACCATGCAGACTAACTCATTTTTTTTAAACAGCGGAACTTCCCTTTCAGATTTTGGAATCATCAATTAACAATGATTTTCTTTTGTACAACTGTTTTATTTAAGGTCCTAACAAAGTTTATTTCAAGGAATGGGAATTTGAAAATGAAAATTCTGTCATCATTTAGTCACCCTCATGTTGTACCAAATCTGTATGATCTTCTTTCTGCCGTGGAACACAAAAGGAGACAGCGGAATGCTGCTTTTCTCCATTCAGTAATAGCAGACAGTGAACAAGGGCTCTCAAGCGCTAAAAAACATAATAAAAGTACATAAAAGTAGTAATTTATGTGCTATATTCAAAGTTTTATAAAGAAGTCATAAAACATGCAAGAACAAATGACGTTTGATATCAAAGGCATAAACCTGACATGCAATATGTGAATTCAATTTGAGAGCTATTAAAATTTTCAGCGAATGGCTCAAATTTCAATCTGATCCTCCTACAACATTGTGTGGCTTTGGAAGACTTGGAATATAGCGTTAACAGCAAAATGATTATATCATTAATCATTACATAATTATTAATATTATTATATATTATAAAATTACTGTGCTGCCATAGTAAAACCTTTCCAGATATGGAGAAAGTTCTATAACTATATATACTACACATATACTTGTTCTTAGTATATCATAAACAGATAAATTCTACAAATTTCATAACTGTTGATTTTGATTAACATTAATATGATTTGCTATGGCACCACAACTTATTAAATAGGGCCTAAAAACCTATACATGACTGTTAGTTTTTTCCCTCCATTTTCAGCACTATTACGTTACGTTTTCTCACATTTTATTTTGGAATTATTTTACTTTTTTTCCTTTTAAAATGTTTAAGAAAATGGGGAAGGTGGGTTGGGGTGGTGAATGGTGAAGAAAAGGCACAACAATCCAGGTGAAAATCAGAAACACAATAGTAGCCATCCACAGTGTTTAACCATCCTTTTATTTCTTGATATCAGTGTCGCCTCTCTTTCTATATAAGTGGATGTATATGGATTTATAACTGTCGACGTCCCCCACATGATGTACATGCTACACAGCCTCTCTCTTCCTCTGCAAGCATGCAATATATCTGTCGTAGAAGTAGAGACTGTGTTTTGGTTGCCTTAGTAGAAGTAGTTGCATTTTTTGTGGTAGTGATGATACACACACTTTTTGTCTCTTTTGCTGATTCACTGTCTCTCACCAGGGGGCACTGTGGGCTTGATTTGGAAGTGCCAACAGAAAGCCTTCTAAGTGAACATAACAAGAACTATCTCATGCTCTCTAAGGCGTGCTAAGGGCATTCTTGATGCAACACCAAGGAAGACAAAAAAAAGCCTCCCGGTGTCATCAGAAGTATTGCTGAATACATCTATTCTGCAATATGATGATGATGATCTTGACAATGAGAACTTTTGCCTTAAGCTTTGGCTTTTAGAGTTGTTGCATCATATATTGAGCTTATAAGCTTATTTATTGGCAATGGCATAGTAATAAATAAAAAAAACAGTAAGCTATAAAAGAGGACACATGCTATAATTAGTATGGTAAATATTAAATTCATAATTAATATGTATAAATTGTTTATAAGAAATTTTATTTTGAAATTATTTTGAACTCAAACATCCAAACATTGCATGTGTCCTTGATTTTTGCTAAACTCTTAAAATTTTGAATAATATGAAACTCGTTGCTGCTGCTTTTCCATCAATATATTTTGCTTTTTGAAAATGTATTCCTTAGGTATATATATCTGTCTTGATTAGCAGATCACCAAAAAAAGAAAACAAAAATGTTTGTCAGCTTAACCAAAAAAGCTCTCTGTGCCTCAATTTCACAGATTGCCACAGCAAGGAACAGAACTTGAAATGATAATAATGTAATAATCCTGTCAGATCAAAATACTTTGTTTTAATAAAAATGTCCTTGCCGTTGCAACATGGCAAGCCTCACTGCGAGACATTTTATAGCTTACAAAAACTGAAAGCAAAAAAAAAAAAATGTTTGTTGTGTTAATTGCCTTCTGACTGGGCACCTGCATGTCATTGAGTGTTTTGCCAACCCGGCACTGCAGATGCCCATGTGAGAAAACAGCTTGTTGCTCTTCTAACACGTCTTGAGATGAGGAAACAGGAACTGCAACTGAATGAGAATAAAATATATATTACAAATATAAATATGCAGTGGCCTAGAAAGTATTTGAGCCAAGTTTAAAAATGTAGTAACGTCATTGCATTAGACAACAAAATATGAAAGCAACTGGTATTTGTGTCCATTAACAAACTTTAGGAGAAATACTTTGGTTGTTAGGTTTTAATTCTGTTCTAAATGAAGATAAAAAGTATTTCTGGATACTTTCTGGACACTTTCTGGTTGAAAGTCAAAAATGGAACCAATGTCTTTAGTTAATGTTATGACCTACAACTATGTTTACTCTGCTAGTGCGCCAGTGTGAACGTGAGGGGATCTGATATCATATATCCACTAGAAACCACATTGAGCCAACTGGGTTAAAAGCAACTGCAAATATAGCTTGGAAAAAAAGGTAATTGGTTAACATCACTTGTTTGCAGATGCCAATTGGTTTATATTTCATTATATAATGCAATGACAGTCATATATTTTTAAGTGTGTCGCAAGTGTAAAAATACATTTTGACTTTTGACCCAATAATGCTTATATAAATAACATAGGTTATCAAGGTTATCACCTAAAACCATCTCTCACCAGAGAACCTGCTTCCTCTTCTTTGAATATAATTCTAAATACCACTTAAGGCAGCAAGATAGCTGGAAGAACACTTCTCCCACACCATTTAAAATTTTTATAACCTCCTTGGATGTAACAGAATTTTTAAGTGTTGCATTCAATTGTAAAACATAGCCTTTAAAATGTTTCTGAGTCCTGGCCTGAAGGCAAAATTTAGAGCAATGACGTCTGAAACATTCAATGGTTGAGTACTTGTTTTGGATTTCCATGCTACCTGCTGCCTTGGGGGTAAAAAAGCTAATTCCGTACTAGGCTTTTGGGGAAAAGGAAAGGTAACAGTCACACTAATGTTCTCTATCCTGTGTGTTTTCTACCTTCTCTCTCTTTCTACAGCAATACCCACCCACAGACATTACGGGCCAACTCAACTTGTCCGACCCGTCTGTCAGCACGGTGGTGTGAGGCAGAGAAAGAGGGAGAGTTTAACATAAAGACATGCTCATTCTTTAGAGACAAACAAGATGGAACTAGAGGGGAGCGTTGTAGTACCGCTCCTCTAGGTTTTGCACAATGGATCTATCATGGACGAGAACTACTGAGCCACTTCACCTTTATGAGGAGCCAATTGGACCTGTTGGGACTTGATGGTGGACTGCAAGGGATGGCATGACACTGCAATGCACTGGAGCACTGCGAACACACAGACCATATAAACACATAAGCGCATTCACCATCACAGCTTGATGCTGAAATTAGTATACCATCATTCCATCCACCAGTACTTCTTCTGTATAAATTCTTTATCATTATGTATAAATATTTCTTATTAATATTAGTGCTTATTCTTATGTTGATTAAGTGGTTTAAGTATTGTACAGTATAATTTAGAACAAAGAACAAAACATTTCATGTTGCAAGGCCGATTCTACGGCCATTATTTAAAGAATTAACTAGTTGTAGTATATATTACATTAATTATATTCATCATTTACATATGATATTTATCTTCTTTACATTTTTTATTTGCTTTCTCTTCATTGTTTTTCATTCTTTGTCTATATAATCTATAAAGCAAAATGTCAGCCAATCAAGCACATGATCTGTGCTGTTTCATATATCATTGTCTTTTATATTCTAACATCCCTTTGCATGTAATACGCATGCAAATTTGTCCCTAAAGGATTATGGACAAGAAAAATATACAGTATCCCCCCCCTCCACATATCACAGAAAAGGTATTCAATTTTAGATTTACGACGTGGCTTACTGCACATCAGTTAATTGCAAACTCTCCTTCAAACTCAACAGTTCTTCCTCTTTAAATGCAGTCGTTCTCAACTTCAGTCTGAAGGGTGCATCAAGGGGCCGAGTTTTTTCATCCAACTAGCACTTGGCATCTCACGCAAAATCATCTCTGTGTCATCCCCACAGACGACCTCAGAGATCTTTTACATGAGAAAACCCCAAGTGTGCCCATTTATTTTCAACGCTGGTGCTGTAGTTTCGTATACACCTATTAGTTAGATGGCAAAACTGGCCCGTTCCCAAGTTCTGGGGTTGAGAAACATCAACAAAAGTTGTACAAATAAGGATTGCTTACTGTAAATGTTCACTTAATGCTATTTATATGACCCATGGAAACTCCCCTATAAGAGAGATCATCTACCTAGCACTTTAATGTGTATCTGTTGGAAGCTATAAGCATATGGAAATTATGCAATTTGCCAAATGTTGATTGTAATACTAATACTTGATATGAAAATGCACATTTAAGAATGCGAAATATATGTAACTGTCAGCTGTTTGAATTTTACAAAACACTCCTTTTCTAGTTTTCATATATCAAGAGATTTGGATTTGTTTCTGATATATCAGAGTTAAACTGTGTCAAATTAGTGCATATCGCATATATCTTCTGTTTACTACTAGCTTACACTACTTTAGTTTTTAGTCTTTTCAAACTGACAGGTATATGTACAGTATGTTTTTCTCATTGCTTGGGTCAATGAATGTGGTTTGTACTTCAGAAGAATGATGTATTATATCTGATTTCAGGGCATGTGAACACTGAATTCAGTTTATGTTGCCTGGACTGCTAGATTGCAGATGATTTTATGAAAATGTTGAAAAAAGGGAGTGTTCTATGAGAAACTGTCACACTGTAAATGACACACAAACACAATCAGATAAATTACACCACATACAGTAACACACATATCCTGAGCATAAGTCTTACTTTAACAAGTGCTACAATGCTACATTATGTTTCAGTTCATTTTAGATACTTCTTCAATGCATTTTGACAAAATATATAGAAATAAAATTTCTGTGTGCCAATAAATTTGTGCCATGTCAGTTGCAGACCACAACTAAGTGTCTTTTCAATTTTGTGAGCATATAATGATATTATATTATTCACTAGAAAAATATCCATGGATTTCATTTATTTCCAAATCACTATATATAGCCTGTGTGTGTGTGTGTCCAAATTTTGAGCATAAATTTGTACCCATATATAGCCTGTGTGTGTGTGTGTGTGTGTGTGTGTGTGTGTGTGTGTCCAAATTTTGAGCATAAATTTGTACCCAGAAGACAGCAAAACTTGACAAAGTGTCCCAATATATATATTGTATCTAATATATATTGTATAAATGCAGATTTTTTTTCCTTTTAGGGTTAGGTTATAAAGTGTATAACTATATCGGTGTATAAAAACAACATGAATCTATGCATTGCCCCTAGTTAGCTAAATAAATGTGCATGTGTATATATGTGATTTATGTACAAATAGCTAAATAGATCATTCCTCGAGTAAAATCGCAACGTACGAAGACCTGCACAGAGACAAGTACTGCAGCAAATAAACACACCTTCCACTTTGACTATCCATTTCCCAGAAAGTTCAATATTAGCTACAGGCAGCTCTGGAGAGGTGGAGATGCATACATTAGTCAGACGTCTACGTTATGGGCCGGGGGTAGTGGTCAAAATAGTGACTTGTTAATCTCTCATGAATTTGAAAGTATGAGGAAAACGCCTGACAGCGTATTTAAGAGGCGGTATCACCATCATCAGCAAGGACAGACTGTTCCTCTGCAACAGGTGAGTTTACTTTAGTCTTTGCTGCACAATACTACATGATAGCTTATATACTGAAACGTATAACGAACTGTTTTTGAACCGCTAAACTGTGTCACACCATCCTGCGAACCAAACCATTCTCGTCAACAACGGACCGCGTCCTCTTACCTGCTCTTACGGGATCTGTTTATTCCACTGACTGAACGCAGGTGGAGGGATTCTCCCGTCTAATACAAGCATTTTTTTCATTAAACCGTGTACTTCTCCTGCGTAAATCATAAAAGTGAAAGACCGAAAAGCATTAGTGGGAAAACAAATTGAAATTTAAGTTCTGTTTTTAGCGTTGTTCACATTTTAACGTTCCCTCTATTCTACAGTTCGCGCCAAAATATGCTGCCATAGCTACATTTCCGACATAAAATTGCCACCGTTGCCGTCACTGTCGTAAATGTTCAATTTTGAAAGAAAAAATTAATTTAACAAGTAACAAATATTCTTAAAGAGTTTTGAACAAAATGCCATGTTAATTATTGCTAGCCTTTACATTAATAATGAGGGTTTTTTTCTAAAAAATAAAATAAAATAATGCAATTAGTGCTGGTTTGTGGAAAACTCACGTTGCTAGGGAGTTTTGGGACTTGACCTCAAAGTCTAGTTTCTATAAATAATAAAATGACAAATAAGTGTGTCTCTCTCTCTCTCTCTCTCTCTCTCTCTCTCTCTCTCTCTCTCTATATATATATATATATATATATATATATATACTACAAAAATACAGATTTTTATAGTATTTATTTATTTTGTTGTTGTTGTTGCTATTACTTGCACTAGACTGTTTAATCCATATGACCACTGTATGTTTCTTCTTTCAGACGCTGGCTGGCAAGTGGTAGTGACAGTTGCTTTGTGGGCAAGAAGCTTCTTCTTTGTGTGACGATGGGAGAGAGAGAGGCGTGCTTATTTTCACTTGTTGCTCCTGCTGGGACCTGGATTAAACACTGCCTGTCCACACACTTCAGGCCTAAACACTCACTGGAGGAGGGTTCCCAAAGTGACCACTGGTCATCTCAGCCATTTTGCACCAGAAAGAGACTTGTGGTGACCCTTCTGGTCATTTTGGCTTTGGTTGTCATGATGCTGCTCCTGCTGCTGAATTATTATTGCATTATGGTCTGGCACCTGTGTCAAAATGAAGAGTCTGTTCTCCCGATGTTTCAAAACACCACACCAGAACTGGACAAGCAGCACTGAGATGTTACACATTTTGTTTTAATATTTGGTGCACCCATCTGGGATGCATGTATGTGTTATGCTGTCGTGTTGTTGTTTTTTTCTTTTTTGTTTGATGAACTGAAATAACACTGAAATTTCCAGTTTGAGATTTTTCAGTGTACTATATGTGTGATGTAAGAAGGAAATTATTCACACTGTCAGGTTACTCCGTTTTTGAACTTTTAGTTTTGTATTTATTTAAATGATTTCCTAGGTTTGCCATTACTCTGAAAATTATGCCTATTTTAATTGGCAAAGTCACTGTATTTATCCATTTATTTCAATCTGTTAATCTTTATCTAGCGAAGCTTGAAATGTAGTTAAATACTCTTCATAAAACCGGTTTTGTTTAAACTTTGTGTGCTTGTGAATCTTTAAACAGAAATGTTTTGTGAGAAATGTTGTTAATTCTCCTTTCAAGCCTTTCAAACATACACAGATCAGAATATCACTCAGTACATGCTTTTATTGAACAGACTGTATTGTAAACAATGAATCAAAAACATAACCTTTGCCATATTTTTGACGCCTCATGCAATTTAAGATCTGGATGTGTGGCCTTAATTTAATCATTCTGTTTGTCATAAAATAAACATTATTGCTCATGCATTCAAGTGGACAGTAATCCTCCCCAAAGATGATGTCACACATTTTTCTCCTCCCTTTTCAACACCAAACAGGACATTCTTACCACATGGAGAGTAGTGCATTGTGGATACAAAGTAGGCCTGTAAATGCAAAGTGCCTCTGTTCTTGGCAGGAATTATCCTATTCAGAGCAAGCTGTGTCAGCGTTTGAATAGAGGCATGGACATTGAAAGAAGAGAAACCTTGTAAATAAAACTGGTCTCCATCACATTAGTCCTGCTGCACATTAATGACTAAATTTAGTCAGCTGCACCAGCGGACACACCTTTAGTCACATTTGATGTAAGAAGATTTAGGAATGTCTGGAACACTCCCTTATACTACAAAAAAGGTTGTAATTAATGCTGGACATTGTGTTTCTACTAACAATCTATTCTACAGCTATTATTATTACAACAACAACTATTCTACATCTATCTGTATTTCCAAACAGTCTACATAACAATAAAACATGTACACTTGCAAAATTGGTGTTTATTATTATTCTAAAGAAATGTAAAAGAAATGGTTCTGCTGTTACTAACTGGGCTTCTTTGTACAAGAGAAGTCTGTTCTCTTGTTAAGGAACTGGGCGGGCGGAGGGGTTGCCCTTGTTCCTTCACCATCAGTTGCACCAGGCAAACCTCAACTTTACTGATGGATAAACTGTTTGTTAAGTTTGTTGTCCCAGCTGTGCTCTTTCTGTTTGGAATTGTGTCTATTCTACTCCTGACTGTATCTATACATGAAATGAGAGAGCCACCACAGTACATGGTAAGTATGATTACTTCTGTGACCTGATAAAAATGGCAAATTGTTTCTTTTGTGTTCTCTTTCTCTGTCTCTTGCTCTCTATCTTTCTTTCTTTCTCCTGTAAGCTAAGTTGCATTTTACGCAGTGTATCCTGATTAATGGGAGGAATGATTTTAGCACATGATACAAAGAGGAATTGTGGAATTTTTGTAAACAAGCACAAGACCTGAAAACAATGTATGATCACAAAAACATTATGTTTTAAGCACACACTAATATGTTGAGCACAGCTACCTGAACCACAAGTAAAAGTTAGCATCTGAAATTACATTATAACCAGGTACAGCATATTTAGCCTTGGGGAGGTGAGCCTTCACAAGGTAAACATAGAGAATGGTCATTTTGTTCCTGTTGGGAACCCTGGAACAAATGAAGATGCAGACTCAGGATAGTTTGTTATGTCAGATACTTCTGGGAATTGTATCTCCATGAAGTGTGTCTTCTGGCAACAGGTACATGTTAACCCCTGGGAGCCGTGGGTAAACACTGAGCAACAGGTCACAGAAACACACAATATGTACAAAATCTTAGAAGTAATTGTACTTGAAATATGATGGTTATCTCAAAATAAAGTGATTACAGTGGCTCCTGCGAATAAATCACTGTCAAAACATGTTATGTTCTCATCGTATTACGGAAATTTTAGAATTTGACCAAAACTTTAGGTTCTGTTTGAGTTAAAAACAAAAGATAATACATTCTAATCACATAGATTTTAATATAATTTTTTACACTTTTTTTTGCCTCTCTCTCTCTCTCATTGCAGTATGGGGTTGTGCTGGACGCTGGCTCCTCACACACTGCCTTGTACATCTACAGATGGCCGGCGGACAAATTAAATGGCACAGGCGTGGTCACCCAGCACAGCGAATGTCATGTCAAAGGTCAAATGACTTGCTGAAATATTGAACATTTTCAAACAGATTAATGGTAGAGATATAGATAAACATCTAAAGCGTAAATAAAATGAAGCATCAATATGCATGTTCTGGTATAAGATATTTCAATCTAGTTTAATAAATATAGAAATGGATGTAATTATTGTGTCTTGTTTTTCTTTGGTGCAGGAGGAGGAATCTCTAGTTATGCCGGGCAGCAAGGTGCAGCGGCCCACAGCCTTGAGGCGTGCTTGAAGCAGGCCATGCGCGACATTCCCCCAGACAGACATCATCGCACCCCTGTGTATCTAGGAGCTACTGCTGGCATGAGACTTCTGAAGTGAGTGTGTTTTTTTTTTTCTACTTCTATGTTGCTACATGTAGTATTGAATCGTTTTATAAGGCCACATATAAAAGAACACATCCTATTTTAAAGGGGTGGTTCATTGCGATTTTACTTTTTTGACGTTAGTTAGTGTGTAATGTTGCTGTTGGAGCATAAACAATATCTGCAAAGTTACGAAGCTGAAAGTTCAATGCAAACGGAGATATCGTCTTTTAAAATTCTGGCAGTTTAATGCCTACAAAAACAGCTGGTAGGGACTACAACAAGTTACTTCCCGGGTTCATGACATCACAAACCCAGATAAACTCTGCCCTCCGGAAAAGGCAGCAAAGGGGGCGAGGCCATGCTGCGCTGCTTTAGAGAAGAGGAAGAGAAAACTAGAGGTGCACGTAATAATCTATTCATATATGAATCGCGATTCTGTCTTCTAACGATTCTAATGGATTCACAGGTTTCAAAATCAATGTTCAAAAGCAGCAGTTCTCAAGACTGTTCCTCGCGTTCCCCTGCTCTGCATCTCTCTCTCTCTCATTCAGCTCAGCTCCAACAAAGAACTGTAACTTCCAATTATACACTTATTTTCACATAGCTATGAGAAGCGTTAAAACATGGACGTGCGTGCAGTTGCCATACTGTATTAAAGCTTTAATCAGGATAAAACCATATATTAAAAGCTAACATAAGCAGTAGCATTTACAAATAACAGTGTATCTAAAAGTGACAACAACAAACAAAAAACATAGGCCTACCATTAAAAGCCATGCTTGCACAGGTTGTGCACGATCCTCTTCAATAATATCCTCTGCTTCTCAATCGGGCTCAAACTGATAAGCGATATTAACGACGCCATTGTTTACAATACAACCGGAGCACTTGCTGCTGAGGAGAGAGGCAGGACGATTAGACTCGCACTAGAGTTTAGCCAATCACAACATACTGGGCTAGCTAACCAATCAGAGCCCATTGCCTATTTCTGAGGGAGGGGGCTTCATTAAAGAAGGAAATTATCAGACTGTTTCTGAGAGAAGGGACAGAGCTGTGTGGAATAAAGGTAAAACAATTTTTTAACTAAGCTTTAACACATGTTAGACTGCACCCCATAAACACAATCAAGCCTAGAAAAAACCCAGGGAACCACCCCTTTAAAACACTTTCTGGCTGTCTCATTTTCTGGTTAAACTTGTTGAAGTAGTATAATTTTTTCAGGCAGATTAATGGTAAAGGTATTTCTCATGTAGATAAAAAACAAACACAGAAACACCAATATGCAAGTTTCAGGATATTTTAGTTCAGTTTCAAGTGCAAAGCTTCAATAGGATTTGAAGGTTAAAGCCTGATCTTTCTGCATTATATTTTCTGGCATATAACACTTTTTCACCCTGCATATGTGTTTAAGATTGCTTCAGGTTTTCTCTGTAAAATGTTTAGTAAAGTAGTATATACTGTATATATTTTTTTAAATACAAAATTAAAATACCAAACAATAATGCTAAAATTACTGAAACAAAATAAAAATGTAAATAAATAAATAAACCTAAGGGGAACTGATCTTTACAAAAATGTAATTACATTGGGACCAGTTTATTAAATTAGAAAAGAGAAGTTAGTTCTGAGAAAAGGTTTTTACAGGTGCTTTTTGGTTTTACGTCATCTTAATGCAAATTCATACATTTAGGCCTGGTTTCACAGACAGGGCTTAGACTAAACCAGGATTAGGCTATAGTTCAATTAGGACTTTTAAGTAATTTTTATAAACTTGCCTTAGAAAAAGCATTACTGGTGTGCATTTTGAGACAAAATAAAGGCACTGATATAATTTAAAATCAGTCAGAGCAAGTTTCTTTCAGTTGAAACAGCTCAGATTTAGATTTTAGTCTGGGATTAGGTTTAAACCTTGTCTGTGAAACCAAGGGTTAGTGTCTTAATTGTCCTAAATTGCCCCTTTCTAGGGCCAGTGTAGGCTATGTTTTGGCTCTAAGAAGTTTATAGCTATGTAGTAAAATTTTGTTTTCTGCCAGGATGACATTTGCTGATGCACATCCTTTTTTCATTAACATCCAAATACCTTTAATTTTTTTCCATCTTTTATTTTTCAGAATTACCAAAATGATTTCAAATATTAACTGGATATTTTCTAGCCAGGTTTTATGAATGTGAAAAAAAATGTCTTTGTGTTTATCATAAAAATACACTGTATAAACATGCTGCATTGCATCTCTGAATTCCTGTAAATCTTAAAAATTCATTTCCATATCTTCTGTTCATTATAGATGACCAAGAAAGCTCCTGACTTGAAAAAATACCTGAAGGATTACTGTGCAGTTGCAGTGTATATACAAGTGCTAATGCTTAGGGGTTATAACTTTGATGAGAGTTCTTTCCAAAATGTTGCTTTTCAGAAAAAGGTGGGTTTATCAAAAATATACTCATATGCTTGTACATCACAGAACCACCCTAACCCCAAATAATTTTACAGTTTGCTTCTGAATAAAATGCAAATTGTGTGAATGCAAACTAAGTATACAAAAATGCGAAACCACACATTTAGTCTCTACTATGTCACAGGCAGGTGAGGCGTCTGTGGGCTGGGCTCTGGGTTATATTCTCAGTGTGAGCAGTCTTCTTCCAGAGGAACCTGCGGGCATCAGGAAGGGCTTGTGTCCTGCAGCATGGATTGGCTTGTTGATTCTCCTAACCATCCTCCTCATTGCCACTTTCTGTTACATGGCTCTAGTGATTCGGAGGAAAAGGAGTGATGAAGTTGTCTCATAGCTCACTGCTATGCCTACAGTTGTTCTATGTGTTTGGACAGACTCCACAAAAATTAAATGTTTACAAGAATAATGCATTCATACTGTACTGTCTGTGCTAATATTGCATCTAATTTAACAGAAAATGTGTTTGTTTTGCCAATGACAAATTTTACAGAAAGACATCAAAACTAGTTAGGAAATTAAATTGAGGCACAAAATGAATAACACTAAATAATATTATATATCGGTATACTATGGTATATCTGATACCAGCACTGTTCTATTGTACAATCTCAGTTTTAACAGATTACAGCAAATTTCTTTGTCTTTGTTGATCTTGTGTGATATACTTATCAACTTTATTAAAGGAAATATATATCTTTTTGATGAGGATTGTCGATGATATCTGATCAGTGATCCGGAACTCTAGTTATGTATCTCTTTTTTTTTTTGGCCAGTTCACATTTGTCTTCAGTTAATGTACAATAAGAAATTCACAGCATTTCAAATATTTCTCAGACTGAAGGAATAAAACTGTAATGTTAATAATTTATCAAGCTGAATTCATTTCTGATGCAGGTTACTGAAGAAAGTATATACAAAACCATGTTTAACAAATGCATATTAAACTATAGACCTATTTTATTTTTTTTACCATAGATTCTAAAGTTAGCTTATGTTTGAATGACCCTGTTTGAATGAGATCTCGTTTTACTTCGTTATAATTTTACAGTATTAACAACTTATTTTTTTTATAAGAAACTGCTTACCATTGTATTTATAATTGTGGGCTTCATAATATGGTAAACCATAATATATTTGCTTTGTACAATCTAACACAAAGATTTATTTTTAGGTTTTTTAATTTACTAAGACAATAACTTAAAACACCAGCTGATGGCAGTAAGCATCTGCTTAATTCAGTGGCTGGCACGTAAAGAAATGTGATCCTACTGCGCATGCGCACCTCCCTTCATATTTTAGCCATTGCCATGTAGAGCGCTTTGGCATTTTAGCGTAATCTGCTACAGTTTTGATTTATTTCCAGGTTTAAACAAAATGTCCGAGCTTGAAGCTAGTGTATACATATTAAACTATAGACCTATTTTATTTTTTTTACCATAGATTCTAAAGTTAGCTTATGTTTGAATGACCCTGTTTGAATGAGATCTCGTTTTACTTCGTTATAATTTTACAGTATTAACAACTTATTTTTTTTTATAAGAAACTGCTTACCATTGTATTTATAATTGTGGGCTTCATAATATGGTAAACCATAATATATTTGCTTTGTACAATCTAACACAAAGATTTATTTTTAGGTTTTTTAATTTACTAAGACAATAACTTAAAACACCAGCTGATGGCAGTAAGCATCTGCTTAATTCAGTGGCTGGCACGTAAAGAAATGTGATCCTACTGCGCATGCGCACCTCCCTTCATATTTTAGCCATTGCCATGTAGAGCGCTTTGGCATTTTAGCGTAATCTGCTACAGTTTTGATTTATTTCCAGGTTTAAACAAAATGTCCGAGCTTGAAGCTAGTGTATCGTGTTCTCCGCAGTGTGCGGAAACAGACAAAATCAAAAATACAGACGATATCAATCCAGAAACAGTACAAAACACTAACACCAATATTTCTCAGGTTGAAGAAGGTGAGTCTTATCAGTTGAAACCCTTCAAAAACTTCAAAAATGCCGTCATGTGGAGTTTTTTTGCATCGAATGCTTGTGTTTGAGTTGTTTGAGATGGATTCATGGGTGGTAATAAAGCTTAGCGAGTAAACAAGCTAGGCTAGGCTAAATATTAGTACCCATCATTCATCTTAAACAACCACCACAAAAATCCCTTTTTAAAACTATCTGTGTTTTTAAGTCGATTGTCATCGTTCATCGGCTGAAAATACACATTAAGACACAAAACGTGGAGTTAATGAATCATACCATCGTGTAAATAGATTATTTCGCCGATAAAGCAACAATCAACAAGTTAGCCAGGTAGCGAATGCCTATTTAGCCTCATAATAATCCTCCATTGCCATTGTTATGGAAAGTAACAGCTCGTTTGTGACATTTCAAAACGTTTTAGTGCATTTTAAGTTTCTAAAATGCCATTAAGTTTCCATTTTAAATCTCTAATTCGTGTCATTTTATTTTTTAAAAAATAGTATCACATTTATGTTATGTTCAGATAGTAGTACAAGTAAGTACATATTAATAAATGCTCATTTAGTTATGTTTTTATGTAATTTTAGTATCCACAAACTTATTGGTAACTAGATTATTTGAGCAGATAGTACAATGACACATTCAGGAACAAACAACCTTACCGAATTAAAACTTTTTATGCCAATAATAGAATTCAAGTAAGTTTGACACGTTTTACAATAACATGAGCTCTTTCATTTAGACATATGTACATTGCTGCATGGCATTCATTAAAATAATGCACGGCGTGTACAAATAGTCTATTTAGGTATGCACAGCTTCAAGACCATGTAATTTATTGGTCTAATATTATTAGTGATTCTTTCATTTAAATCAATTGGAATAATTTAGATTTTACATTGATGTACCGATGCCTAGATTCAGTTGTAACATATAAAACTATTGTTCTTTAACTGGATTTGTGTTTTTATAGCAGATTTCTAATATGGGTCAGTTATTAGTTATCAGGCATAACATGAAATAGTTGTCAGTGTATCCTTAATTCTGTTAAAATATCTTTTTTTTGCACCACAATAACCAGATGCATTATTACTTGCACGCTTTGCTTGCACACATTGGGCCAAATTTAAGCAGAACGAATTTCTCTGTAAAACCATTTGTGTATAAATGTTCAAATTTAGTTCAGTCCAACGATTTATGTCAGAATGAATTCATGAACAAAATTGATTTTGCTTATGCTTTTTTCATTAAATCACAATTTGGCTACTGATATTTTTATTTCAAGTCTGTTTCTTGTTCACTAGTTTTACCAAAAGCCTCATAGTGTATCTAAAACTTATTTCTAATCATAAATTTCATGCTCTGTGAAAATCAGATATGTAAAAAAAAAAAAAGAGCCATGTGAGATTGTCTATGCTAACCACATCAGCTACATTACACAAAAGTATGTTAAGATTATTTCATACAGTAAATATTATTTTATGTTATTTTCGCTTTTAATGTCTGATTTTTCTGCAGGGTATCAGAGCGACAGTGGTCTTCTCAAAGGCTTGTTGACAGATAACTTCTGTCACGTCTGTGAAGCAACCCTGCTTTACGAATCCCAGAGAGTTTCTCATTATGAGGTTTGTGAGGTGGTTTTTCATGCAACTGTATCAAGTTTTTTCAGGCAACCTCAAAAATCTGCAGTCATATTTCTAACATTGGTTTCTATGTTGCCAGGGGAAAAAGCATGCACAAAGAGTCAGGGTGTACTTGCAGAACAAGAACACTAAATTAAATAAGCCGAGCCAAGATTGTGGAGGCCTTTTGGTATGTAACAGATCATACAGAATATTCATATATTGCTCTTAAGTGTGTGGTAATATATAATACTTAATATTTTTTTACAGAGAGGTCTGTCTGCAGAGAAGTTCTGCGAGATGTGCAACATGGTATTCAGCTCTCCAACTGTGGCCAAGTCGCACTATGAGGGCAAAGTTCATGCAAAGAACATGAGAAAAACCAATCCTCTGCCACCTGGAGGTGAGTAAAATCAAACTGGGGACTGTTAGGTTTGATTCTTCGCCATTGTGGGCTAAATCTGTCATAACACTATTATGTTATATTCAACTTTCAGTGCCCGTCCTAGAATCCACAATTCCTGATGTACACCCATCAGAGGCTGCTGTGCAGAATCAGATCAGTCTGGAGCAGAAGGACACTTCTGGCTTGGGCGATCAAGAGGTTGATCTCAGTGACCCCAACAAGTACTGTACACTGTGCAGCGCTTCCTTTAACAACCCTCTGGTCGCCCAGCAGCACTATAGCGGTCGGAAGCATCAGAGGAACCAGGCCCGGCAAGAGATGCTGGATGAGATGGGGGAACAGTCAGAAAATGGTATGCGTTAAAATATATCTACATTGACCAATTTAAAAAATATTCAAATTAATGACAAATTTTTATTCAGAAATGCGTAATTAATTAATTATATGAAATTAAATTTAAGAATTATATAAAGTATACAAATCAAAATAATTTTGTAATGTCACATGTTATCCATTAATGTAAACAGAAATATTGTTGTACTCAGTGGTCGTTCACGATTTTTACATATTCATGGTTGAGAATTGACTGTACATTTGAAATTTTCTTGTTATTCTGTTTTTCTCTCACGCACTAGCGCTTCCTTTAACAACCCTCTGGTCGCCCAGCAGCACTATAGCGGTCGGAAACATCAGAGGAACCAGGCCCGGCAAGAGATGCTGGATGAGATGGGGGAACAGTCAGAAAATGGTATGCGTTAAAATATATCTACATTGACCAATTAAAAAAAATATTCAAATTAATGACAAATTTTTATTCAGAAATGCGTAATTAATTAATTATATGAAATTAAATTTAAGAATTATATAAAGTATACAAATCAAAATAATTTTGTAATGTCACATGTTATCCATTAATGTAAACAGAAATATTGTTGTACTCAGTGGTCGTTCACGATTTTTACATATTCATGGTTGAGAATTGACTGTACATTTGAAATTTTCTTGTTATTCTGTTTTTCTCTCACGCACACATACAGCGAGCTCCCTGACTTGCCCGATTTGCTGTCTGACACTCAGCTCAGTAGAGATGTACCAGGCACACATGCAGGGAAACAAACACTTTGTCAAGTGAGTGACGTTGCTCTCATTCATTATTTTATCTGATGCCTTTTTTTGTTATAGCCACTAGGATTTAGATCTTGATCTTGTCAGCAAATATTTGACATTTTTAGAATGACATTTTAAAATTCATTAAAATTAAATCAGAAAGAATCTTACTTACATTCTAAATGTGTTCATGGGCAAAATCCCACCATAGATTCCTCTTTTTATTTATTTATTTATTTTTTTCATTTAATATAAAATATTTTATCTGCAAATTTGTAAAATAAGGGAAAAAAATGTGGCAAATTGATTGATTTCCTGTTGACTTTGGGTGAAATTTGAGTCAATCTTTAAAATAAACTTTTTTTTACGTATTGCAGTTATTTCTGGATTTTACATATTTGCATACACTAAAAAAAGAATTTTTAAAGTTGTAAATAAAAATAAGGCTGTACGTTTTGCAAGAAAATACTCCTTATTGTTAAGTTTTCTGATTTTGCCATTTCTTCGTATTTTTTTGAGAAATTTACTAGCAATTTCTAAATGTGAAAATTGTTTCCAGTCCAATTTTGTTTCACTCTTGGCTATTGGAAAACTCACATTTGTCAGTCACTAGTTTAAATGCTAGACTAAGTGAACTGTCATTAATCTTTGCCCTTAGAGAGAAGAAAGTTATGGAACTGTGCCAATCTCAGAAGAAAGTGTACGACTCCTTCCAGGATGAGCTGGCTGACTACATCCAGGTGCAGAAGGCCCGGGGACTGGATCCCAAAGCAGGGTTGGGAACCATAGGACAAGCAAGCAAGGGCCTGGATGAGAGTGTGAAAGAAGGTCCACAGAAAGCAGAAGAGATGCCTCATCCTGGCCAGCTGGTACCACATTTTTCATCTCCTGGTTTCCCTCAACCTCACTGGCACCCACAATTCCAGTCTCAGGTCAATCAGTTCGGCTTTGGTATGAGAGGCCCTGTCCCACACTATCGGCCGGGATTTATGCCCCATGCCCGTCCTCCTTTCCCACCTGGTCACCTGTATAAAAGAGGGAGGAGCCCTGAGTCATTTAGCTCCTCCTCTTCCTCAGACTCCTCCTCCTACACTAGCAGCAGTAGTGACAGCAGCAGCAGTTATGACAGCAGAGAGAGGAGGAGACGGAAGAAGAAGATGAAAAAGCGAGGGAAGAGCAGAAGAGACCAGGAGGAAGGGTCTGCTACGGAACAAGTAGAAAGGAAAAAGAGGTGGAAGGGAGACAGGAGAGGAAGTGTAGAAGGAGAAGATGATAGCAAGAAATGGAAGGAGAGAAGAAAAAGAGAGAGGAGCTCTAGTGAAGACGAGGAAAGCAGAAGTAAAAGAAGAGCAAGCAAGAAAAGTAGGAGGCATGGGGAGAGACGAAAAGAAGAGGAACTCATGGAGAAACAAGAGGTTGAAGTGCACGAGGAACCACAAGGAAAGATGGAGGAACACGTAGAGGTCAGGACAGAAACGAAAGATGGCAAACACAAATACAAAAAAGAGAAGAAAAAAGGAAAAGAGAAGCTGAATCGAGAAGACAACAGGACAGAGGAGGAAAGGCTCTGGGATGAAACGATTCTTGGTGTTTTTTAGACTTTAGTTTTTTTCGATGATGGTCTGACAGTATTGTTCTAATAAAAATGCACAGGACCCCAGAAAAGCGTTTTGCTGAAATCTTCTGGACCCTTCTCTCTATTTATGCTTTCTGAAGAACTCTAAAGGCCTTTCTTTTATACAGAAACTCATCTGATCACAATTCCTTTTTAAGGAATCAACAGTGAAAATTTTGTCATGATTCACTCACCCTCATTTCATTTCAAACTCATATGACTTCTATGGAACACAAAAATAGATGTTAAGAATGTTCATGCTGCTTTTTTCCAATGCAACGAATGTGTGTGGAAGCTCCGAAAATGACAAAAAGTAGAAGTCAATATGACTTCTGCACTATATTTCAAGTTTTTTGATTTTTGGTAAGGTACAGCTCAAAACTGATTGAAAATATTGGTTCAAAATATTGCTGCCTGCAGTTCCACATATTCAACCTTGCTGTGTTGTGAGCAAGAAACTACAGCGTTTGTTAAAAACTGGCTTCAAACGACTTTATGCTGCACAATTTGTATGAATTAACTGCTACTTTTAAGGTGCTTTTGTCACTTTTAGAGCTTGACAACATTCATTCACTTTCACAGTGTGGAAAAGAGCAACGTGAACATTAGGCTAAACCTCTTCTTTTGTGTTCCACAGAAGAAAGGAAATCATACAGGTTTGGAATGAGATGAGGGTGAGGAAATGATGAAAATGTTCATTCCTTGAAATGCTCAGGACTACAGACTTTAGGATGTCTCTAGAGCTGCACTTCTCTCTTGGAGAAATCACTGACTTTATACCTTGTGGTGTGATGCAAAAACACTACGTGAGCCATCCACCCATGTTCATGTGGATGTGTCCATCAACTTGCTTCATGCTTTGATCAAATAAACCCCTCCCACTGTTTATATCAGCATAGACTTAGTATTTATTGTTGAACTTTTTCTAAAAATCTCTTGTACATGAACTTTTGTTTCTGACTTAATTGAAGCATTTACAGTTTTAGTCTCAAGGGGGCGTTGATTGCAAATGTACACACTACACTGTGGATCTGCTAGAAACCTCTTTCAGACTTAATCTCTCTGTGTTCAAGAAAGACATGAAAACAGGAATGAACGGTGAGAATAAAATGAAGAGTTGTCAGAATATAGAGTATCGCATATTGTAAACATTTCCCTGAATCAGAAGAGCTCGGCCTGCAATCCTTGTTTTTGTTGCATTTCTGTGAATGTGTGAAACAGTAATGTGACACCAGGCTCATTTGATGCTGGAATATTTTTTGTTTGCAGGTCTAACAGGTGCAGGAGTTGAATGAGGACACGACTGCTACTCTGTTGACCTGTTTCTTGCATAGAGCTGCATTTCCTTTTTTGTGAGTTAACTTGTCACAATCATGCAATCATGTTTATTTAATGAGTGTGCTGCTGCTAAGCCAATTTCCAATGTCTCCATTAAACAATCCTTAATTCACTTTTGCATCACTTTCTGAGCGCTCAGGGAACATACTGATCATGGGAAGATGAATGTGGTTGTGTTTCAAAAGAAAAAAATTATACTTGAAAATGCATTATTTATGGGTTTTTTTTATTTATTTTTTTATCACATTCCCATGTAAAATGTGATGGTTCGGTCAAAAATGACCATTTTGTAATTTACTAATCCTAATGTCGTTCCAAACTCATGAAAATGGGGATGTGGGCTGGTTATCTCCAAAATGACAAAAAAGCATCATAAAAGTTTGCACTGTATTCCAAACCTTATATGTATTTTTGTGTCATAAACAGTAAAGATTCTGCTCTCCACACCCATTTAAATCGGGTGCCTTTAGATGCATAGGTTTAGAACATGAAGTTTGAAATCGATGTTATCCATTTATCCACCTTCCGATTTCCAATTTCAAGCCAATTTGAAAATGTGGATGCACAATTGAAATTATAAATGACTATAATAATTTTATGGACTTATATTTATGATAATTTATGATGACTTGTTGTCATTTTAAAGACGTGCCTGATCCCCATTCCCTTTCACTATATAAAATATAGTATTGTTTAACATTTCTACTTTTGTGTCCGACTGGAAAAAGTCAGACATGCACTACCTGTCAAAAGGTTGGCATAATTAACTTTTTTCAAATGTTTTTGAAAGAGGTCTTTTATGCTCACCAAGGCTGCATTAAGTAACAAAATACAGTAAAACTGTAATATTGTGAAATATCATTGCCATTTAAAAGAGCGGTTTTCTATTTTAATATAATTATTCCTTAAAATGTATTCCTATTTTAAATGAATTTATTTCTGTGATGGCAAAGCTGAATTTTCAGCAGCCATTACTTTAGTCTTCAGTCATGATCCTGCAGAAATCATTCTAATATGCTGATTTGCTTACATTTAAAAATCGAAGTAATATAGTGTACATGGAACAACATAATGCTGAGTAAAGTTTTTTTTGCGTGAACTGTCCCTTTAATTTGCAAGCATGATGAATTGTAATGTTTTTAATTCTACTAAAACATGTTTTGATCTTCAAATGCACTTGTATTAAATTGTGGATCTAACACCTGTAGCTTCTCACACAGCTTTTGTACTTCAGAACTATATGAACTTTTTTCCAAGTCTTTGTAACCGCAGAGTTGAAAGCCCTCCGTAGACACAAGCTCGTCGCACTAAAGCGTTCTCTCGAGCCCCCTGAGATCTCCTGTTTTCAAAGAATCGTGTGGTTCGGCTCCCTGTGTCTTTGTCGTACCCTCGACCTCCAAGGCGTGTGCGTCTCCCACATCCTCCCCTCGTCACGACCCCTCCACGGGCCCATGAGCCCCTCCAGCCCTCCTCAAGAGACGAGGGCCAATGAAAGAGATCTTTTAACACCTCAGCTCGAAAACTCCCACACAAGCCCCTCTGAACTTCAGGCTCCAGAGTCCCACACACTCAAAAACTTTATTAGTTTATCTAGAATGTGGAGTGGAAAACAAGCACGTTGGTTTGTGAGTTGAGAAATGTTGGGCTTCTGAATAAAAACCAACAATTTGACTTTGTGGTGCGAAAACAGGCCTGCAGTTTTGTTCTTCAGGGTTGTTCGGTGTTGATGTTGTGATATACACTCTTAAAAATAAAGGTGCTTCACGATGCCATAGAAGAACCTTTTTGTCTAAATGGTTCCATGAAGAACCTTTAACATTTGAAGAACCTTTCTGTTTCACAAAAGGTTCTTTGGGGCGAAATAAGGTTCTTCAGATTATAAAAAGGTAAGAAAGAGATGGTTCTTTAAAGAACCTTTGACTGAATGGTTCTTTGTGGAACCAAAAATGGTTCTTCTATGGCATCGCTTCAAGAACCTTTTGAAGCACCTTTATTTTTAAGAGTGTAGGGTGGAATTTTCAGTGCATATTAATGAACAAACCTTCATTTATTTATGAATTATTATGAGATAAATGTGTACATAACTTAATATGATCTGCTCTATCGATATGCGATATCGATTGCAGTGTTAAGCGGTTTTACATTGTGTGAAAAAAAAAGTTTTCCAACATGCATTTTTTTATAGTTTATGATGTTTAAGTGCTTTAGTTTTTCTTTAACTTGACCTAACTATTAATTCAGCCAAAATATGTGATTGAGTAGACACAACTGTGTACATATAATACCAAACTAGTTTTTTTTATATGTATTTGTAAAATATTCTAAAATAATATTTTTTATAATTTTATGTATCTTTTAACATCTTTATTTTAATTTAATCTTTTGTGAATACTTTTATGCATTTTCAATTTTCTTCATCAGTAATTAAATTCAAAGTGGCTGTACTTTGAAGTAAATATTTTAAGCAGCATTTAAAGCACACATTTTGGGGGCATAACGTGACATGATAAAAATCAACACTTCGAGATTAAACATATTTTGTTTTCCACGGCACAATATTGTTGATTATATGCCACCGTCGGTGCTTTTTCACTATTAATGTGGGTATTGGTTAATTAAGTGATTTTTTCATAAATCAGCATTGGCAGTGTGTTTGGTTGAATATGTGATTCATTTCAGTCTTACCTGATATTTATCACAAGCGTTTTTATATTACGTGTTTGTGTTTGATTTGATACAGTGCCAGCTGTTGTGTTCTGTGGACAGATGTAGGTGTTTCTCAGGTCACACACCTGCATTTGGGTTAAAGATCTTTTAGGAAAGACGTTTGGGGTTCAGCAAACCTGTGCGTTTTGTTTCAGATTAAAGAGAAAAACAAAGTCCTTTAACATTCACTAGAACTACACAAATAATAGAATGACCAGTGGGTTTTTCTAAATATGTGAATTTCTAGCTATTGAAATTGATTTTCAGATTGTTTAGATCTCTTTTGTGAGTTCAGTTTAAACCTCTAACTTTTCCAACAACGTGTTGGTTAAAATATACGTTGAGGTCTTCAAAATGTCTATTAAATCAACTCTACTTTCTGAATATGACTCTAAAGCAGAATTTAAAAGGCTGAAATGCATCATAATTTATATATTGGGAACAGTGGATTGAGAAAATCAAAGATGACTTTGTACTTCAGATGGTTTATTGAAATCATGCTTTTGCATGTAAAATAGCCAATAGCTGCTATTTACTTGCTAACGAAACTTGAAATGTGTGTATTTCCGAAAAAGTCTCCTGATTTTTCCTTGATGTTTTCTTCTGTGTGTTTCCTCTGACTCATTCTCTGATAGGCTGTCAGTAATTGGTTCATTGGCCCCACACACTGCAGGCCCTCCTTTCTGCATGACACATGAAGAACAGAAAGGAAAACACAGACACACAGTTGACAGCTCACACACAGACGCCCAAGGATGACCCTCTCTTGCATGTGCTTTTGTTTGTTCGTATGGATGGCAGGTAAGAACTTTCCTTTGCATTATATTTTAAGAGCTGTCAAACTTTTAATGTGATCAGACCTGAAACTCAAGTGATACAGTAATATGAGCTCAGTGTGAGTACATCTGCAGAAGTAAATTGATGACTTTTGTTATATCTTTTGTTTGAATACTGTCATAAATTTATGTCATCCTGCAAAGACGGTATTTTTAAAGAATCTTATATAATCTTAATAACATGATGTGAAGGTATCGATGCTGCGTTGTAGGCCCAAAAACGTTTGCATCCTTAGGCAATTACGAGATTTCTTGCATTTTAAAACGTTTGGAGAGCATTTTATGCTTTCACATTTTATAATATATAAAAGTTTTCCGATAATTATCAGAGACAAGCCAGGTAATCTCTCACACTCAAGTTTATGTAGAATAACAGCTTGTTTATTTGCATACATATATATTTTAATGTAAAAGAAATATATGTATTAATGCATATATTCTTAAAATGCTGACTATTCTTTTTTATTATTATTATTATTTATCGCTCTGGTTTGTTTGTTGCTGGTTTTCCAGAATGATCTGCTTTGTTTAAGTCAGTGTTAAACAAAAATCGCCTTGCAACTGAAATCTGATTCACTAAAGACTCACTTTCTATGCTTTCACACGCTCAACCTATTTTGGATTTCATACCAAACTGAATAGTGTAATTTGAGTGAATGGATTTTTTTTTCCGTTCTCTGACATATGAACTATAATGTTTTCTTCGCATATGAATCAATGCCCACATAAGCATATCTCAAAGTGTCAATGCAAAAAAAAAAAAGTGCTTTCCCCGCCAGGCACTGATAATAGAGGAAAACTATTTTGCAAGAGGATATAGACAACACAAATTGCCTATAAGCATACTGTCTGTCTATTCAGGTTTCCATTCTTACATAACAAGGAAATTACTGCCTTCTAGTTCTGTATGGTCTATTGTGAAAGGAACTTTCAGCCTTTTCTTTTCTGCTTTTTTAGTTTCTAAATCTAATTTAAACCTGTCACCTTTTACTGTTTTACTTTCTGCATAGAAAAAAGCTGAAAAATATCTGATTTAATACTGTATGCCAGTGCCCTTTGAATAGGTACCATTCAGACGCCTAACATTTTTTAAGTAGCTAAACTGTCGTTAAACCCAAAAATCAAAATGTGCATAACAAACAAAGTAGAACTTATGATTTTTTCTTTGTTTCTCCTTTAGTGGCTTTACTGCCCACCTTCCAAGCTACGCCGTCTGTTCTCTACGCCAAAATCAACGGCTCGGAAAGTATGTCCTGTGAATGTCCAGATCACTCCTGCCAGGAGGTTTTTTGGTACCGATACCTTAAGAGGACAAAGACTCTTCAGTTCCTCTTGTATGTCAACAGCGCTGGCAGAGAGCAACATGGAGAAAACCTGATCGCCACTCGCTTCAAGGGCTCGGTGTCCTCTGGTCAGAGGGTGGTCTACACCCTGCGTATAACAGGACTTCAGGAGGAAGAAATCGGCCTCTATTCCTGCATGTTTAAAACCAAAAATATTATGCCTGTTGGATATTACATAATGCCTGGAGGTATAGCAGCGCTCTTCTTCTGTGTTTTGGTTCCTTACCCTGTTTTTTCTTTAATGGCGTTACTGATGGTTAGTGAACGAAGATTTTAGGATGAAAAAAGTCATGAAGACCAAAGCAGTGAATCTGAGACACCTAATGTTGGTTTGGGCACTAGCATTGAACTTTCCATCCCTAAAGTGAGAGGATCTTTACCTGGTGTTAAGTTGAAGATGGTTCCAAATATACACGTTATACAAGTATACGTGTCAATCCTGGTGCTCAAGAGCATCTCAAGGTCTTAAATGACTAATAGGAGACATAGTAAGACTGAAATAGAAGTGAAGTGTTCAAAGATGCAGAGATGTTTGGCCTCAGAATCCTAGAGTTCTGTTAGTTTAAGCAGCCTTGACCTGTCTTAGATCTTCTAGTCTGGAAAGTTCATGTTAATCGACTTGGTTGTCAAGTTGCTGGACACTGTGGGTGCCAAATGTTCTAGTTTTATATATGTTCTGTCTTGATGTTCTCTGTTCTTTGTTCTCCAGTGAATCCTCCGACAGATCAGCCGCCAACAGTTAAGACCAAGACACCCAAGAAGACCTGTAATTGCAAACCCCCCAGCTCTCCTAAAGGTACGGACTGAGACGTGCTTTTAGATGTTACTGATTTTGTGCTGTTTTATACTGTTTAGTTGAATTGGTTTGTTTGTGTCACATTGCAGGCTGTGAACAATCAGTGCTTTGGCCGGGCATTGGTGCTCTTTTGCTTTTGGCCATTACACTTGCTGGCACACTTTACTACTTCAGTCGTGAGTGCACACACATACACACACACACAGAGTTTGCACATGTCTTTGTAACATACTGGTACATCACAGTGGTCAATGAAATAACTTAACAACTTCAATCAATCAATAATTTTATTTTGGTCCTCACAGACAACTTTTCACAAAATAAATAAATAAACATAATTACCGAAAAAGGTGTAGGCTGAAGCCTTGCTTATTATGCCTACCCTTTATACATAATTAACTGATGAGCGACACTTTTCACTAAGAAATACAAGATAAACATGTTACATAAACATTACCCCAAATGTACATACATAATTCAAAACAACATAACAAAAATACACATTACAACTATTACTTCAATATTGTAACAATACATTCACAATTATTGATACTGGGTCATATAATTATTTATCACCTTATTTTTATGCATTTTCTTGAATATTGCAGAGTGAATTACATAATTTTAATTCCTTATCACAATTATTCCATAGATTTACCCCTTTAACAGATAAACACCTACTTTTTGCATTAGTTCTTGCCCTAACTTTTTTAAACATATACAATCCTCTTAGATTATACTGACTTTCTCTTATTTTGAACAGCCTCTGAATACAATTTGGAAGTAAATTATTATAAACTTTGAACATAATCTGTGATGTACATAAATCAACTAAATCTACAAATTTTAAAGCATGTAAATGAATAAACAATTTGTTTGTTGGTTCGTAATAATCAACCCTTTTAACAATCCTAATTGCTTTCTTTTGTAACTTATATATTGAATTTATATAGGTTTTATAAGTATGACCCCACACCTCCACACAATAAGTAATGTATGGAACTATGAGTGCACAATACAATATATATAACGTTTTTTCATTCAAAATATGTTTTATTCTATTTAATATTGCAATGGATTTGGACATTTTTGTTTTTACATGGTTAATATGTGGTTTCAAACATAATTTATGATCAATTATAACACCCAAAAATGTATTTTCATACACTCTTTCTATTTCCTCATTGTTAATCCTTAATTTAATTTTGTTGTTACTTTGTCGATTACTAAATATTATAAACTTAGTTTTACTTAAGTTCAGTGAAAGTCTATTATCATCAAACCATTTTTTGAAAACCATGAGTTCGAATTCCACTGTATTCAGAAGCTGTTCCAAGTTTTTCCCCGAACAATATAAATTTGTATCATCAGCAAACAAAACCATTTTTAATACTTTAGACACTTTACAAATATAATTTATGTACAGTACAAACAATTTGGGGCCTAACACCGAACCTTGCGGAACACCACAAGTAACCTTCATTACATCTGATTTAACATTGTTTATTTGTACAAATTGATATCTGTCATCGAGGTAACTTTTTAGCCAAGCAAAGGCTTTTCCTCTTATACCATATCTCTCCAGTTTCATCATTAATAAACCATAATCAATAGTGGCAAACGCGTTTTTTTAAATCTAGGAACACCCCCACAGTATATTCATTATTATCCATTAAAGAAGAAATCTCTTCTACCAGTTCCATCACAGCCATTGAGGTCGACCTGTTGTTCCAAACTTCAGTTTGGCCGTGTGACATGTTTACTCTCGCATACGGAGTTTCAGATGTTCAGAAGTCCATTGTGAGAGTTTCTGAAGTTCTACCTCACAGTGCTTATAATTTAGTAACAGTATAAACAGTTTACTGTACAATAAAAGTGAAATTATTTTGAATAGGAATTTTATATAAAATGTCATATGCACATCAACTCATACATTTTTTTCTTTTTTATATATTGGGACAGGTCTACCAAAGAAGTGTAGACATCAATTTACCAAGTAAGTCAAGAAATGTTTCAACGTGCTGCTACATAATGAGATTTAAGTGTTTTTTTAAAAAAACATTTTAATTAATGCTTTTTATTACTAAAATGTCTCTTAAATGATCTTTTGGCCTTTCAAACATGAAAAATGAGCAAATAAATGGAAAGGTTATGGCTGTGGGTTAATGTTCATTTGCGACACTGGCATCTCACATCAAAGCCCTTTACATATGCGTTTGCATTGGTTCTGTTTCAACAGTTTGACTTATTAGACTCAGAAAAACTTGGATAAAATCCTTAATATTTTTCTAGCCTATTTCTGACAGTATTATGAGCTTTAAGACATTTTTTTTAACTTTTTAAAAATATACTGTGTCATTTTCTCCATAGAACGAATCAGTTGCGATGAGGTGGAAGAACACACTCTTCATGTCGAAACAAATGTAAGCATTTGGATTGAAACATGACTTACCTTTAAAAAGTTTAAATACAGTCTTTGTCTTATTATTTTTTGTTCATTTGCAGGCGGTGGTCTTTTTTCTCTCCAAAGTATGGACCTGTGTCGAAGTCTCTGAAATTTTGCCATAGCTTCACAAATATCAAATATATTGGTTTTTAGAATGTAAAAAAATGTATATATAAAAATAATAGCTTAAATGTACAGTTCAGTGTTTCATCGGACGTTATTCAACCAACAGTCCACTTAATGAATTAGATTCATTGTCTGACTTGACCGAATCAAACCAGAGCAGAACATTACCACCAGGATCACCACAAAACCGAACTCACTCTAAACTTGGACTAACCTCAGCTGTCTTAATCGAGCTTCGAGTTTTGTTCTTGCCAGTACAGTATGCTTAATTTGTGACTGAATGTACAGTTTTCTAATTTTTATGTTCTTTTATCTCATATATGCTGTCGTTTTATGCTTTGATGTTATGCTCATTAAATAGTTATTTTAATCAAGTCTAAATTGAATGAGTGTATTATTGAGTGTTTCTGTGGGTTATTTCTCTGATGACACTTGTTTTGTAGGGTTTTATGGTGTCCCCCGTCTTGCATATCTGAGGGTGTGTTGGTTTATGTGTTTGGGTGTTATCAAGTTTCCCTCTCTGAGCGTATGTGTTCTCGTTATGAAACTATAGGCCTATCACTTGATATTGTGTGATCACAGCCAGAAAGTCTAATTAGCTTGAAGTATTTCTTACATATCAAGTCAGGGCAATAGACTACCTATACGTACATGTTCATGGTTAATGTGGTGAACTACACCTGTGGTTAGTTACTCTGCAAGGAAACCTGTGAGAATTTGAGGAGAAAGGAATTGAAACATCCAATAAAAATCACAAAACTCCAGCAAAAATAGACTCCACGTTTTTATATTTTCTCATATAAAAGGCAAATATGGATCAATTTAACACTTGAAATTAAAAGGATCTACTGTATAATACAGAGGGAAACAATACAATCAAAAAATAAATAAAAGTTCTGTCAAATAAACAAAAAATATGTGGGTATGAGAGAAACTGTGCTGCCATTCATGTGCAGCTGTTCTTCCTGATACTTTGAGGCAAATGAACAAACCCCTTCCTGTGCAAAAAGACAGAGCATTATCTCTCTCGCATCGCAACTTTGAGCTCTTCAGCGCTACACTAAAACAAAGCCACCACAGAGAAACCACAGACCTTGCCACATGGAGAGCGTCACAGGCACAGACTGTTAACACAAAACCTCCATTACACGGTTTAGTGCAGTCTCTGTACTAAAGCATGTTATCATTAGTTCATTCATTTTCTAATGTTTTCAAAATAAATACTAAATAGATCAAAGAAAAAGTTGTATTTCTTTATTGATTGTACAAAATGACATGTGCATGTTCAATGAAAAATGTTTTTCTTTTCCACAGAGCAAGCAGAGTGCATTACATTCATATACAGTGGGTACGGAAAGTATTCAGACCCCCTTACATTTTTCACTCTTTGTTATATTGCAGCCATTTGCTAAAATCATTTAAGTTATTTTTTTTCCTGTAGGCTAGTAATACAAAACTAGAAAGTGCACAAAACTTTAAAGTATTTCAATTACATTTGGCAAATGTTTTAAAAGAGTAATAAATTGCTACAACTGTTTACAGTTCTTTCAGTCTTCCTAATTTAAAGCAAAGAAAAAAAAATGAGAATGCATAGCACATTACTCACAGCAAATATCAGGCATATGTCAACTTGAATAAGCTGTGAAAATAGATGTAATCTTAATAAAGTGGATATCCTCAAATGCAAAAATTAATATGCTTGAGGGCTAACTTTGGGTTTCGCTTATAACGTGCAAATATTCCGAAAAAAGAAACAAAATTATTTTTCTTATAGTGGCATCTTATTGGCTTTCTTTGTGATCTTCGTCTTTACTGATGCACATCTGCACACAACTCATGAGAGAATCTGACAAGAAATAAGTTATGCATTAAAGCATGATACATTTTTACCAACTCAAAAACATTATTACTGTATTTACAGTATGCTACACTGTGTGCAAAATTTACCATCTGTATTAACATGTTTAGTCGAGTTTGTCTGTGATCTGTGCCTCAAGTAGGTGGTATCCATGTTGGGTCACGAGACCAACACCGGGTTAAAAATTACAGTAAATAAATAATAAAATTATGGTAACATACATAGAATTTAATATTCTTAACCCTCAGTGCCAATGCTTTCAGTTAACAATTTAAAAAGGAAATAACAGCTTTACATTTAAAATATACTTCAATCACTTTATATGTGATATTTCATTATTAAACAAAGGTCATTTTAGATATAAATATAATATTTCATAAATTGTATAACATACACAAAATGTGAAACAAAATGATGTTTTGAAGTTGTAAATAAAACAAGGATTACTGAAGTATGTTTTACAAGAAATTACAATTTCAGTCTTTATACTTCAAACATTTTTTCTATACCATTTACTTTAGTATATATCTGCTATATAAAATGTATACATGCTTGCATTACTTTAGATTTTTTTGTAAACATCCTTGTAATTAGAGTGTGTGCGGTAATACTGTAGTAAAATATAATCACACAACTGTAGAATGTTCTAGAAAAACAAGAACATTTATCCAAATTTATTTCGAATTTAAAGTCAACACTGATAGACATAATTATCAAAAAATCCCATCGTGAATACATTTCTGTGAAGTGGACAGAGTGCAGGTGCGTTCAGAAACTTACATGCTTTCGATTTTCTGTTTCCTATCATACACCTTTTACACCTGTGCACCTCTCATTTATCTTTACACGACAAACGACATTGAAGTAAACATTGAACTGTCAGGTTGATTCTGCAAACATCGTCTACAACACCTTATGAGAACTGATTAAAAACAATTCAAAAAGACCCCAGAAAAAAACATGCCAGTCACATTTCTAAAAAGTGCAACTCTACTTAATAATTTAGGGGTTTTGAGAAAACATTAAAAGTATTTGAATGAAAAATAATAAGTTAATACAGAAATTACTATTAATCTTTGACCACATACAGCACTGAGACCACAAGTAAAGGAACAAAAAGGTATAAAAAGTTACCAAGAAACCAATTCTACTTACATCAGGTTATGATCTGTTGTAACTACTGTGATCCCTCCCTCTGTGCTTCAGATTGTTGGATACAGTGTTTGAATCACCTGAACCGAAGAGAATCCTAATGCTGCAGTGACTGAAAGTCTGATTTGACTGATCAATCTCTAAACTGAGCTCTCTGGAGTGGGCAGCTGTTTTACTTCATGTAATATTCCTCTGTTGTGGTGGGCTTGAGGATGAGTTGGCCCTCTTCCTCCAAGGAATCCCCAGGTAACCCCCATCCCCCTCACCTTCACCTCTGAGACCCACATCTCTGAGATCAGGTTCATTTGGTGAGTCAGACAGGGACCCCCTGGTAAGAAATCAGTGAATGATGAGAAATTACGCAAACTGAGAAAGTGACTCAAAGCTAAATGGGGGGCTATGGAAACTGAGGGTGGACTGCCTGTCATAAACCGTCTCTCTGTTTGACTGGAGGTCTTCCTGAACACCCACCTGCCAGATATAAAAAACAGAATCGCCCTTTAAAGATGGGTCAACATTTTTTAATGTTGTTTTTGATTATGAAAAAAAGGCTGTAAAAAAAAACGTTTTTCATCATTTTTAAGTTTTTAGCAATGGATTTTCTATAATCAGTACTGTATCATTAGGTCAGCTGTTCACATTGAACATTGAAATATAAATTGGAAAGGTTAATGATTTTTTTTGTATACAATAATTTTTACTTAATTTAATAATTTTAACTCGATTTAATGATCAGATAGTATGTCAGGTAAATATTTATTTATTTAAATATTTATTGTTAAATATTAAAGCATTTATGTATGTAGGCCTATAAAAACAGGATAAAATTACATGTTAAAAGCCGAGACAAACAAATGAGTTTTGAGACTGGATTTAAACTCAGATAAAGTGGAAGCCATTTTTATTTGGGACCGGAGATTATTCCACGGAGTGGGGCCAGACACTTCAAAGGCTCTATTGCCTCAGATAAAATGGTGCTAGATTATTTAAGGATTTATAGACAAGTAATAATATTTTATATTCAATTCTATATTGAACAGGCAGCCATTGTAGAGATCTCCGAAGGGCCGTAACATGATGTATTATTATTATTATTATTATTATTATTATTATCATCATTGTTATTTAGTCTGTTTTGATTTATTTATATAGAATATAAATATCAAGGAAACTTTGTAATTTTGCAAACTCGCATTGTACCGATGTAAACAACAACGATGACGACGATAATAATAATAACAATCACAATAAAATAGAAAATGTTATTAAAATACATGATTTATTATTCATTATAAAATATTGTTTTGTTGCAGTTTTATTATGTAATTGTATTATTATTATGTAATTATAATATAATAATAATTGTTGTTATTTATGAAACATTTATGTAGTTAATGATAGTTATGTTCTGATTATTTAATAAAACAATATGATAATGTTCAATGTAATTTAATAAACAATTGTTTTGTTAAAATCAATATTTTATAAATGTATAATTTATGGTTATGTTTACGATTATGTTATGTTTTTATCATTGTATTGTCTATTTGATTTTATGCAGGCCTACTTTATTTATTTATTTATTTTATTTTGAACAGAATTTGTATACCTGACAGATTCGTCAACAGACTTGTTTTTGTTGCTAAAATCGTAAACTCATATTTCCACGACCTATGTGAATGTGTTACGTTAATTTCCAGGCGATGTAAATATAGGCTACTTGACGTCACCGTGTTGCGAAACATAGAAGAAAGGTGGCTCTGTTGCCAGTGATGTAACCGTGATGTGCATCATTCTCATCCATTCTCACATCATTTGGAGACTCGCTGAACGCAGAACAAAGGTGGTCTGTAGCTTTCTTACAAAGCGATGAACATCTTTCCACTCTTCTTAAGAAGCAGTGATCCTGTTATGACGTCAGGTGATACTACTTTTTAAGTTTTCCCACCAAGATAAGATAGCACACTTTTCAAGCATTTTAGGTCACAAACAGTCTCAAATGAAGACAACAAGTGTTACTTTCTGGTCCTCAAACGTTAGAGGAACATGTTGATATTTAATGTGATGAACTATATTAGTGTGAACTCGAGGAGAACTGAATTCATACTAATCACTAGGCTATGACACATAGTTAAATTAAAATTCATTGCAAAAAAAAAAAGATTAAACTGAGTTTTATTACATGTGTATCGAAATGGCTGCTTCTGTATTGATAGCAGCAAATGCCATGATGCAGTTTTGAAAAAGAAACACAGAACAGAAAAGACCATTTTAAGTTTAAAAGTTAAATAAATACTTCTTTGCACTTCTTAATATTTTTTAATAAGATACTTCTGATATTATAATCCTGCTCTGAATTTATTCATTTTTTAAATTATAATGATGATTAAAAACATGATTGATAAGTAGCCTATGAATCGGAGATTGAGAAAATCAGTATAAACCGGTTTTATCCGGGTTGTGATCATTATTTTTAAGGCACTCTACGTTTTTAAAATAAATACTGTAATAAAAAAACGTTCAAAGTAATAGTTTTTTAGTCAGATAACATTAAGGCAAGACCCCTCGACGCCCTTTAAACTTTTCCCAGTCAAACAGCAAGAACGAAAGAGAACAGGCACCTTTGTTTATATTGCTGTGTGTAGAACGTTAGCTGCTTTTTTATTATTTAATTTAAAAAAAATGTAATTTCGTCCCCCGCACTTTATTCGGGCAGGTGTGTTCATCTAGAGGTTTCTAGATTTAAATTCAAAGAGACAGTATCGATATTCTATGCATGACCTGACGTTTTATTCGTATCCAAAATGAGGAGAAGTGAATAGATGCAGTGTATGTTTAATTCATACTCGAAGCCGGAGGGCGCTCTCGTGCAGAAAGTCCAAAACAGACTCAAAGAAGTTAGAAGAAGTAGCGTCAGTTCTGGCAGGTCACGTTAGTCAAGCTCGCATCAGCTGACTCTCAGCTGATCCCCATCAAGCTATGGGAATACGACACCTATCTAAGTATTCATATATAAGGTCCCGCAGTAGTATCAGCAGTTTTCGCATTGCTCAATAGCTAATTACCCTCCTCCATCCCCAGCTCCTCCTCTGTCAGTCAGGATTCAGCCTTCTGATTATCCTTTGAATCAGACTAAAATGTGTACATAACATTATTGAACTTTAACAATATCTGCAATACATTTATGTTGGTTCTGTTCTGTTTACCCTGGGGGGGTATCGCTGCTCTCCCTGCTCTCATCTATGCTAGGCTGCATGGATGCGCAGGGAGTTCTTGCCCAGAACGGAACCATACCGCCAATCCAAACTGTATGCTAATTGTCAATCATCTTTGACGATAGTGGTCCTGACAGAAATATACAGTTTATGTGTGTTTTTCAAGTTATCTCCAGGTAATAAATAAACTTTATGAATAATGCAGTACTGATTGACATATAATTTAGTAGCCTATAGAAACTATAAATTCCCTGCCTTATTCTGTGATAAAAATGGGGAAAAGGTGCTCGAAGTAGCTTTTATAAACCATCATAAAATTGTCATTAGGAAAATATTGAACAAAAATATTATAGCCCCTTGCTGCTGCTAACCTTACTTCCACAGGCTACAAACAGCTATATAAACAACAGCTGTGCATGCTCTCTTCATGCAGTTCTTGTATAATAATAATGCTTTAATAATATAAGTATACAAGCACACCGCTCCGCAGAGAACTCCACTTAGGCAGCCGGACGTTATGAAGGCATGGCTACATTAAAGGGGTCTGAACCTGAGGGATAGTCCCTGATGAGATGTCAGGTGAAAGATCATTATCATGTGGATAATTTTATTTACGACTAAATTATTATTCATTCATTTTACTAATAGTTAGATTGGGCAGGCCTTCACAAAATGGCGTTTAATTACAAAAAAATAAAAAGATTGCCTTGACAAAAGGGCACTTTGGGCATCAAGGGGAAAGGGGCAGGTGCTCAAGCACCCATCGCACCCCCCTCTGCACGTGCCTGGTACTGTCCTGACTACGATTTCCTAAGACGCGTGCGAGTGAATGAGAGTGAGAGAAACATAAACTGTCTTTGAATGTGAGCTTGAGAATATTCACACTTCATAGTTGTGCATAAATAGATCTTAAATACGTGAAAGAACAAACGGCGTGGACGCCACAAACAAAAACATTCCATGCATAGGCTATATGTAATAGCCTCTGTACACCCTAACGTCACATTTTCAAAGCTGACTGAACGTTGCAGAACCAAAGTCGCCCACCGAAGTGACATGCACAGCCCCACTCACATGCGGTTTGACGCGTGATCAAAGAGCTGCGCGCGCCGCTGCTGGTGCATGCAGACCCCCTTCAGGTGCACGCATGCCTGCACCACTGCACCGACAATACGACAAGCCACTTACAAAACAACAGCCACCTGTTTTATAGACCGAAATGTAAAAATGATCCACACTGATCCAGATGTTTGGCATACTCTAATGTTCTTACAGAATTCTAGCTAATTTCCTTCTAGAACATATATAGTGAGATGATGTTGATAGACTAACTTTATGCTTAGGCTATAGGCTACTTTTTTGCACACTTATATTTTCAATTTTACAGTTTCTTGAACTGTTTTATGATCATTGCCTAATTATTTTACGCTTTATATTGTGATTAAAACCTAATAGGCTGTTAAATTACCCCATTTTGACAACTTACCCCAATAGTGTCTATCTATCTATCTATCTATCTATCTATCTATCTATCTATCTATCTATCTGTCTGTCTGTCTGTCTATCTGTCTGTCTGTCTGTCTGTCTGTCTCTCTGTTTCTGTCTTTCTATAAATTTATACAGAATAGATCTATTTTAACTAATTTAGGCAAAAAAGAAGATAAATTATGAGAAATAAACCTTATCCTTACTCAATCTAAATTGTATACTTTTATGTACACTAGAATTTGATTCTTGCTGTGTGTCCATCATTTTCTTTATTCATGTTTCTTTTTTCTGCATGTTTGTGGTCCATTCACTTTCTTTAAATGTTATATATTTTCGATATTTTATATTTATAAAATAGTTTATGCACTGTAATAGCAACCAAACAAATAGTACATTTTGACATTTAATTTCTTCAGTACAATTTGTAAGTAGTTGAAAACGTGAGGGTGAGGGTTTGGGAGGGGCAGACGGGGAGATTTTTTCATCCTTTTAGTTGTTTTGTTCCTGGTATTGTAGAAGAACTGAATGTCTGCGCTGAGAATTGAAAGAAATGTATCAAATATGCATTGGATTTTGTGTGATTTTGTCCATCTTTGATGGTAAGTAGTATATTCTCTTGTACTGTATATAATATTATATACTACATATTATATAATATTATGTACTATAATTTATATTATAAGAAATGTATTAGGTATGAAAGTATGAGATTGACAGATCGCTTGCGATCATTTGAATAGAACAAAAATAATGACTCATATTTCACCTGGAAGTGAATATTTGCACATTATTTTATATACAGTCATTTTATTGTAGACTTATTTCTGTAAAATAATACTTTTTTAAGTTCAACTTTGAGCTATTTTTTAACATAGAAATGGCATGGAACTTATGATACCATACAGAAATGATGACCTATATTTACATTTGCCTGCTTAAATGTATTAAAAGCTAAGTTTCAGTTAATTCAATAGTAAAACAAGTTAATTCTATTTTTGCATCACTGAGTGCGGAAGAATTTAGTTATTCAAATGACTTTAAATACAAACTTATGAATAAAATCATTTTTGGTTTTAATTTAAATCTGTTCCAGATGGATTTGGTTCACACATGGATTAAAGTCTTGTTTTTCTACTTTTAAAACTTCTTTTTTTGTCTCTAGGGTGCTTTTCACATACCTTCTACCGAGAAGGACAGGAGGTAATAATCGATTGTGACCCCAAACAGCACAGCGTCATTACATTCTGGTTTAAAATAAACAAAAGTGGTGCAAAGCATTTGCTCACTTTTAAAGGCATGGATGTAAAGGATAATGTTGATAAGGAAAAATACAGCTTGAACAAAAATGCTCCAAGTAAAGTTAGTTTGGCTGTTAAGGATTTCAAGAAACAAACAGACAGTGGTGTGTATACCTGCGCAGCCATGAACAGCAATAAACTCTTCTTTGGAGAGCCAATTGAAATTAAAGGAGAACCAGGTGAGAAAATGCTTTCTTAACATTATTATGGATTGAATTATTAGTGATCATATGGCCAGTCATGTAAAATATGAGCACTTCAAAAGTGGTCTTAATCAGTATTTTCATATATGTATATAAACATACATAAAACAAGAAATTTAATTCAGAAGCAAAATTACATGCAATAAAAATTTGTTTTTCATTAATTGTTTAATGTGAATGTGTCTTGAATTAAATTCATTTTTGTTACCTTAATGGCGAATTGATTGGTCTTGTGGTGAGTATAGATTTCACAAAAAACGAAAAGAAAAACAGTAAGGTTTATGTTTAAAATAATGCTCATGGAGTACAAAGTTTAAAGCTTATGATATATTCTCTGAAAAAAATTCTTAATGTATTAAAATGTTTGATTAAATGATTAATGTTGTTTAGATATTTTCACTGAAAATGTAAAAAACAAAACCAAAACAAGAATATACGGCATCATAGTTGTATTCATAATCCTTTTGCTTATATCTTTGTTGCAGATCCAGCAACACCACCTCCAAAAATTGATCCAGCACCACCGAAAACTACAACACCGGTGATTACGACAAAATCACAGTGTAAATGTGCAAAAGGTTTGTTTGACTATATTTTATATGCATAGCATATATAAAACCGTCTGTGTGTGTGTGTGTGTGTGTGTGTGTGTGTGTGTGTGTGTGTGTGTGTGTGTGTGTGTTAGTATATAATCAAACAGTGCTGTAATGATTAGGATGTGTATATGTTCTCAGGCCCGAAGCCCAGCATCAACTGTGAGACTTGGATATTGTCATCTTTGGCCTCTGGTTGTGGTGTTCTCCTCATTCTGCTGGTCTTCATAATTTTGTACTGCAACCGTAAGTCACATCCACCTTTTAAATTATGCATACTGCACGGACATTTTTAACTGCACATTTTTGAAAAATTGATTATGTACCATATACGTTTTGGAACAAATAAGCAACTGTACACAGTTACTCTTAAACTGAATTTATGGCTTGAACGCAGTCAATTAAAACAAATCCACAATTATATAGTGTCACAGGAATCTGAAAAGCGCAAATTCCATTTGCAATGTTGAGAAACAGTAGCTGTAAGATGTCAAATTTCAATACTACTACATGATTATTTATTTAGAACAATTAAACTATTCCTAAAGGCAAACACATAAGCAAATATGTAAATATGTGGACTGATTCATAAGAATAGGCTATATATTACCTATATTTTGTACATTATATTATTAATAAGAACATACCTGGAGTAGAGAGCACCTATAAGTGGCATTTTAAAAATGTGATCCCGCTAATACTAAATAAATGAAAAAGGGGTCTGGTCATTATGCGAGCCCAGTGGGAGGACACTAATTTAGTTTTACATTTACATATTTCCATACATAATATATGCATACATTTTAATAACATATATGCATATACTTCCATTACTTTTGGATTCATCAAGTTCTGGCAATGTTGTTTTTCTCAGGTTTGCTGAATTTTAATTGCACTTTAATTTATTTAAAAGAATGTATGATTGTCGCTGATGTTTGTTTTTAATTTGAGTAAAAATCTTTGTAAAATGTTTCATTCCTCTCCAGGTTTAAGAACAAGACGATGTCCCCACCATTACAAAAGACAGTAAGTCTTGCGTTGTTGTTTTTTTTCTTGCACAGTGTCACAAAATATTAATACGGTAGCCTACAGTTTCTGATCAACAATCTCAATTTCTCATTTTCAGACCCAGACCTGCTGGTCATGCAAAACTGCCCAACAGCCATTTCTAGCTCCAGTAAAGACACAGGAAATCCAGTACTGGTTAAAGATATCTTTGATTTAATTTCTTCTCAATAAGCAAAGTTAAAAGCAGTTTCTTCTTTCATGATTATTCAGACTGTACAGCCTTAAATCTTAATCTTTCACAATGAAAATGTTCAAAACATCTCTATTTCTTTTCCAATAAGTTTAGATTTTTTTTATAGTCATTATATCTTTGTATCGGTTACATTTAATACATTGACAATAATCAGATAGTTTTTCTTTACGTGGCTTTTATCTTAATCTGTTCCTAGTGAAATGTTTTATGTTTTGCTTCAATGTAGACTTATTAAATGGGGCTTATTTAATATGTAAAAATGGTCACAAAAGCATTTTAAGCTTAAAAATCATGTTCAGTGTCACGTTGCATTGTAACCTGTTTTCAAGAGAAATCTGCCATCTGCTGGCTCTCAGTGTTATGAAAAACCCAAAGTTGCTTTGTGGCAGAGCAGAGGACCACCATGTGGACAAAATACGGAATTGTGTATGTTGTATAATGCAGACTGTCTGTCAGATGAATAAATATGACCAATGACCATATGCAGCCATGTGCTTGTGTTTCAGTCGATGGAATGGTCACTGAATGGGATTTTTACTGTAGTTTGAGTTTGTGTTTCTCTCTGCTGCCATTCAGGAGCTAAAGTTAATATCTGAAAAATGTCTTTTAGTGATACTTCTAGATCTCTGTGTCTTGAAAATGAATGTTCAGCGTCCACGCAATGCCCATCAACGTGTGTGATTCCTTTGGTTTGCTTTAGGAATCAGTTTGTCCGCCAGCTCGACAAGACAGGACCTAATGCCTATAAAGACAGACACATAACCAGTGTTGGGGGTAATGCATTAAAAGTAATGCGAGTTACATAATCAGATTACTTTTTTCAAGTGACTAGTAAAGTAACGCATTACTTTTTTAATTTACAAGAAAATATCTGAGTTACTTTTTCAAAAAAGTAATGCCAGTTACTTTGTTTTCCCTATTTATTGACTGACAAGTCTCCTGTCCCCATATTGGGAGAAATCGGGAGTGCAGAGGAGTTGTGTGTGCTGTGTGAACACGATGTTACTGTAGTTCTAGACTAAATGTGAATGTGCATTAATTCATCCCACTCACAAAAAACAGATTTAGTATTCATCAAAATGAATTAAACTCAGATGACGCAAACCTGCAATAACTAAATATGTTAAATAACACAAATGTAGGCCTATCTAATCCCATTTTATTAACCAATGTCTTTGCTGCTGACCTTTGATGATCCAGTTCAACCATACTAATAAGCAAAAATGACTTTAGAAAACAATGCTTCATGGTTTTCTTATTGCTGAAGAGTGTTGAACCTTCTTCTCCTGCGTTCTACTGTACAGACGTGAATTTACTTTTCCTTCAGCCTGAGGTTTATTCAGTACACTTTTTGGTGTGAAAGGGCTTTTACATTTGCTATAAATAGAACTTCTTATATTAAAAACAATCAAGCCCTGCTCATATTTAAAAAGTAACACGAAAGTAACGCAAAAGTAATGTAACGCATTACTTTCCATAAAAAGTAACTAAGTAACGTAATTAGTTACTTTTTTGGGGGAGTAACGCAATATTGTAATGCATTACTTTTAAAAGTAACTTTCCCCAACTCTGCACATAACGAAATAAACACAGCACGTGTGTAACGACTTTAGACGGGGTTTTGTTATTCTGTACATGATATGATCTTGTGATTGAGATTTTTTTATCCTTTCAGTAGTTTTGTTCCTGTTCTTGTAGAAGAACTGAGATTCTGTGCTGACATTTGAAAAAATGCATCAAATATGCATTATCTTTTGTGCTATCCCTTGCCAAAAATAAGTATACTTCAAGTTTATTTTTTAAGTATACTTAAGTAAAGTTCAAGTATATTTTTAAGTATACTTTATGTAGTAAGTATACAAATATCAGTGTACTAGTAGTATACTTGTAAGTGTACTATTTCAATACTCCTTGGGACCCACTTTCTAGTACATATAAAAGTATACTTTTAAGTATACTTTAAGTATAACAGTAGTAAACTTTGAGTACACAACTAGTTTACATTTAGGTTTTTAGTTTGTACTGCAACTATACTAAAAGTGAATTTATAGGCATACTGATAGTTTACTAATTAAATACTTGTAGCATTTTAAACACATAAATGTGGGTACGTTTCATAAATAAAAATAAAGAAATAAATAAACAACATTTTGAACAAAAAAAGATGAATGATAATGATAATCAAAACGTAGATAGAGTCAAGTATAAGTCAAGTATACTTAAATGTCATTTTAAGTATATTTCTGAGAAGTACATAAAGCACATTCCTGAAAAGTACATCAAATGTAGACTGAAAGTATACTTTCTTATTTTTTAGTTTAAAAGAAGTATACTAATAGTAGGCTATACTTGAATAAACTTCTTTTTCGTAAGGGATTTTGTCCCTTGTCTATGGTGAGTAACATTTTCTTGTTTATGGTATTGTACAGCATTTACATTTCTAGGAAATATTTAAGATAGGAATATGTAAAGGTTTGACAGATCGTTTAGATTAAAAAAGAATGACTCAAATGTAGCTTTTTTTTCTCTTCTTCTTCTGATACTCTTTAATCAGTTTTAGATGGTATTGGTTCACGGTTGCCGTGATTTTGCCAAGTAAGACATGTTCCTGGATCAACATCTTTTGATTGTCCAAAAATATAGACTAAACCCAATCCCTACCCCTAAACCTAACCCTACCCATAATTTATTCCTAAAATCAGTGGGAAATGATAGCTGATTAACAAGGGTGTAGAAGCACCTAACCCTGATTGTAAGCCTAAAACAGATATTTCCTGAAAAGTTATCCCTTATTTCTGATTGGTTAATTGGAATGTTGTTCCAGGATCAACAAGGATGTTGTACTTGGTGAAATCACGGTCACCATTAGGGCACGCATGAATTACTAATGGGTCAAATAAATAAATACATTCAGATCATCTGAAAATAATTTTAGAATCTTACACAAGTTTAATTATCAAATTGACCTTTTTGAGGTTTTTCAGATATTTTCAGTGAAACGCGAACAAAACTACAATATATCAATTGATGATATCTGTGTCCCTAATGCTTTTGCTAATATCTCTGTTTCAGATCCAACAACACAACTTACAAAAATTGCTCCAACAGATCCAAAGCCTGACATTGTGACTACAGAAAAAACACAGTGTACATGCAAAAAACAAGGTATGTAGTAACAATAATAACACTTGACTTGGATATTGTCATCTCTGGCCTGTGGTTTTGTTCTTCTCCTCATTCTGTGGATCATCACAATTTTGTACTGCAGCTGTAAGTCACATCCACCTTTAAAGAATGCAAAGTGCAATGGTGTATTTTGTTCTAATTGGTTATAGGCCATATAAGTTTTAGAAAATGTAAGCAATGTAAGCAAGCAACCTGAACACAAAGAATTAAAACAAATCCACAATTATTGTCACAGGAATCATAAATTATTTGCAATGGTGAGAAACAATAGCTGTGCTGTGCAAGTGTGCATGCAGATGACAGCTATAGTTTTCAATATTACTAAATACAAATATTAGAAGAGTTAAAACTATTTTAATAAAGTTATAATTGAAACGCTTTCTTTGAGTGATAATCCTATAATACTAATATAATCAAATATAATATATAATGACGAAGGGGTCTAGTCTTTGACCGAGCACCACACATATTTGCATATATCATAAATACATTTACATTCATATAAACCATCAGAAAAAATTCTAACACACTTGTTTTCAAACATTGCAGTTGTTAAAGAATTCATTTTTTTTATTAAAAAAAATGCATGACTGTCAGTTTTGAACTGAATTTGTTTATTGAACAAATTTAATAAATCTCCTTTTTTCAATTTTTTGTTCCAGACTTAAGAACAAGTCGATGTCCCCACACTTGCATAATACAGTAAGTAGTCTTGTGCTTTGGTCAAATTTAACATGCAGCACACCTTTGAAGATTTTAGTTTTTGTTGGACAATGCAAATCTTTGAGGAACGGTTCAGTTTCTGTTCAACAATCTCATTTTTTTTTATTTTCAGACCTCATAACACACCTGCTGACCATTCTAAACGGCTCGACACCCCATTATAGATCCAGTAACACACAGGAAAATCCAGTAATGGTTAAAGATTTCATCCAATTCCAATACGTAACATTAAAATCAGCTTCCCTTTCATGACTCTTCCTTCTACAGAGCTTTCAAATGTAATCTTTCAAAATGAATATTCAAAACATCAGGATTTCTCTAACTTTAGGTCACTTCTGTTTTGCATTTTCTTTGTAACCAAAATAGTTAAGAGTACTTCAACAAATATTTTAATTTTGCTGATTTGATCTCACAGTAGCCTACATAAAGATGGATGGACTAATCAGTTTGAATGGTCTGAATTGACACTTTAAGTATTTTATGATCATTCTCTGTAAACACACATCCAAAAATAATATACCCGAGCCCCTATCATCAACAAGTTGTTTTATTTTTTGAGTAAAAATCCCTTCTTGAAAATATCATCCTGTCACAATGACTAGTACACGTCTTTGTGGTCCATTCACTTTCTTTAAATGTTATATATTTTCGATATTTTATATTTGTAAAATAGTTTATGCATTGTAATAGCAACCAAACAAATAGTACATTTTGACATTTAATTTCTTCAGTACAATTTGTAAGTAGTTGAAAACGTGAGGGTGAGGGTTTGGGAGGGGCAGACGGGGAGATTTTTTCATCCTTTTAGTTGTTTTGTTCCTGGTATTGTAGAAGAACTGAATGTCTGCGCTGAGAATTGAAAGAAATGTATCAAATATGCATTGGATTTTGTGTGATTTTGTCCATCTTTGATGGTAAGTAGTACATTCTCTTGTACTGTATATAATATTATATACTACATATTATATAATATTATGTACTATAATTTATATTATAAGAAATGTATTAGGTATGAAAGTATGAGATTGACAGATCGCTTGCGATCATTTGAATAGAACAAAAATAATGACTCATATTTCACCTGGAAGTGAATATTTGCACATTATTTTATATACAGTCATTTTATTGTAGACTTATTTCTGTAAAATAATACTTTTTTAAGTTCAACTTTGAGCTATTTTTTAACATAGAAATGGCATGGAACTTATGATACCATACAGAAATGATGACCTATATTTACATTTGCCTGCTTAAATGTATTAAAAGCTAAGTTTCAGTTAATTCAATAGTAAAACAAGTTAATTCTATTTTTGCATCACTGAGTGCGGAAGAATTTAGTTATTCAAATGACTTTAAATACAAACTTATGAATAAAATCATTTTTGGTTTTAATTTAAATCTGTTCCAGATGGAATTGGTTCACACATGGATTAAAGTCTTGTTTTTCTACTTTTAAAACTTCTTTTTTTGTCTCTAGGGTGCTTTTCACATACCTTCTACCGAGAAGGACAGGAGGTAATAATCGATTGTGACCCCAAACAGCACAGCGTCATTACATTCTGGTTTAAAATAAACAAAAGTGGTGCACAGCATTTGCTCACTTTTAAAGGCATGGATGTAAAGGATAATGTTGATCAGGAAAAATACAGCTTGAACAAAAATGCTCCAAGTAAAGTTAGTTTGGCTGTTAAGGATTTCAAGAAACAAACAGACAGTGGTGTGTATACCTGCGCAGCCATGAACAGCAATAAACTCTTCTTTGGAGAGCCAATGGAAATTAAAGGAGAACCAGGTGAGAAAATGCTTTCTTAACATTATTATGGATTGAATTATTAGTGATCATATGGCCAGTCATGTAAAATATGAGCACTTCAAAAATGGTCTTAATCAGTATATTCATATATATATATATAACAAACATAAAACATGAAATTTAATTCAGAAGCAAAATTACATGCAATAAAAATTTTGTATTCATTAATTGTTTAATGTGAATGTATTTTGAATTAAATTCATTTTTGTTACCTTAATGGCGAATTGATTGGTCTTGTTGTGAGTATAGATTTCACAAAAACAAAAAGAAAAACAGTAAGGTTTATGTTTAAAATAATGCTCATGGAGTACAAAGTTTAAAGCTTATGATATATTCTCTGAAAAAAATTCTTAATGTATTAAAATGTTTGATTAAATGATTAATGCTGTTTAGATATTTTCACTGAAAATGTAAAAAACAAAACCAAAACAAGAATATACGGCATCATAGTTGTATTCATAATCCTTTTGCTTATATCTTTGTTGCAGATCCAGCAACACCACCTCCAAAAATTGATCCAGCACCACCGAAAACTACAACAACCGGTGATTACAACAAAATCACAGTGTAAATGTGCCTATATATTTATATGCATAGCATATATAAAACCGTGTGTGTGTTAGTATATAATCAAACAGTGCTGTAATGATTAGGATGTGTATATGTTCTCAGACCCGAAGCCCAGCATCAACCGTGAGACTTGGATATTGTCATCTCTGGCCTGTGGTTTTGTTCTTCTCCTCATTCTGTGGATCATCACAATTTTGTACTGCAGCCGTAAGTCACATCCACCTTTAAAGAATGCAAAGTGCAATTGTGTATTATTTTCTAATAGTTTATAGGCCGTGTAAGTTTTAGAAAAGGTAAGCAAGCAACTGTGGGCAGAATTTTACAACCTGAACACAATTAAAACAAATCCACAATTATTGTCACAGGAATCATAAATTATTTGCAATGGTGAGAAACAATAGCTGTGCTGGGCATGCAGATGACAGCTATAGTTTTCAATATTACTAAATACAAATATTAGAAGAGTTAAAACTATTTTAATAAAGTTATAATTGAAACTCTTACTTTGAGTGATAATCCTATAATACTAATATAATCAAATATAATATATAATGATGAAGGGGTCTAGTCTTTGACCGAGCACCACACATATTTGCATATATCATAAATACATTTACATTCATATAAACCATCAGAAAAAATTCTAACACACTTGTTTTCAAACATTGCAGTTGTTAAAGAATTCGTTTTTTTTATTTAAAAAAATACATGACTGTCAGTTTTGAACTGAATTTGTTTATTGAACAAATTTAATAAATCTCCCTTTTTTCATTTTTTTGTTCCAGACTTGAGAACAAGTCGATGTCCCCACACTTGCATAATACAGTAAGTAGTCTTGTGCTTTGGTCAAATTTAACATGCAGCACACCTTTGAAGATTTTTGTTTTTGTTGGACAATGCAAATCTTTGAGGAACGGTTCAGTTTCTGTTCAACAATCTCATTTTTTTAATTTTCAGACCTCATACCACACCTGCTGACCATTCTAAACGGCTCGACACCCCATTATAGATCCAGTAACACACAGGAAAATCCAGTAATGGTTAAAGATTTCATCCAATTCCAATACGTAACATTAAAATCAGCTTCCCTTTCATGACTCTTCCTTCTACAGAGCTTTCAAATGTAATCTTTCAAAATGAATATTCAAAACATCAGGATTTCTCTAACTTTAGGTCACTTCTGTTTTGCATTTTCTTTGTAACCAAAATAGTTAAGAGTACTTCAACAAATATTTTAATTTTGCTGATTTGATCTCACAGTAGCCTACATAAAGATGGATGGACTAATCAGTTTGAATGGTCTGAATTGACACTTTAAGTATTTTATGATCATTCTCTGTAAACACACATCCAAAAATAATATACCCGAGCCCCTATCATCATTGCATCTTTATATGGAAGAGTTTAAGAACAGAACAATCCAAACTGACAAAACAAGTTGTTTTATTTTTTTTTTAAGAGTAAAAATCCCCTCTTGAAAATACCATCCTGTCACAATGACTAGTACACAACGTCTTAGAACACTCTAGGGAAACCCATCTGGATCTGTTCAACATTTCATGAGCAAAATATATGAAAGACACTGTAGGGTTTAAAGGTCATATTTCGGTTTCTATCATCAGCTATGAAAGCTATTTGAACATTTTAAAGAATCAAAGAGTGAGCCCTGATGTTAAGCAAAACGGCAACGTTGCGGTTGCCCTTAAACCAACACAAGTGAGTTAAAGTGAAAGTGAAAGATTCTGACTTTGCCCACCACATCTAATGTAACACCTGTCAACTAACTAGTGGTTCTGAAAATACATTTAAAACCTTGAGCTTAAAGCAGCACTATGTAACTTTTGGTGTTCTAGCGGTTAATAAACAGAACTGCACACATCCTGCAGAAGAACATTCCAACCGGAGCTACTTCTCTAAGTTTATGTCTTTGGCAATTCACGCAGGTATGTGTTACTCTGCAGCGGTGACGACCCGACCGTTTTGGGATAAAACAGGCACATGGGGCATTTAGTGTTTGCAGTATTATTTTACAGTTATTTTTGAGAGCATCCTTGTAAGTGCACTTCAGGAAACAAACTACAATGAAAAACACCTCCCATACAAACCTTTTGTGACTTGTATCATTATACAGACATTCAACAGCATTCAAAATCACGGTCATCTACTGCAATTCCTGTACTGTAAACGATGAACTCATAACCTACAGCATCTCTGTACACTAGTGTCTCAATAGATCCTCAAACAGCAACAGACTGTCATCTCTGTGAACAGGAAGACTGTAGAGAGACCCCCAGTAAAGATAAAAAAGAAAAAAAAATTGTATATGGCATAATATTTTTTTTTACTGTGGGAAAAATTATATCACAACGCCACACCAAAAACAGAAGACTGAAAATAGAACAATACATGTGCTTGATGTTAACATCCTATCCATATATACATGTTCTATCATTCACAAGGAGATTTTTTTAGTTTCATTCCATGGCCACCATAAAATATATTTCTTGTCCGAGCAGCTCCCTTTAATGGCTTCTTGTGTTAGGGATGAGGAGACGCACCATAAATCTGAAAAATAAAAATAAAAATGCCCAAAATAAAAACTTCAACATAATAGAATAAATATAAAATATATACATTACAAAGTTAGGAGTCAGTAAGATTTCTTAAAATGTTTTTTAGGCTTTTCCTAAGGTCAGTTAATAACAGTAATAATGAGAAATATTACTACAATTTAAAATAACTTTTTAATTTTAATATATTATAAAATGTAATTTATTCCTGTGATGTAAAGCTGAAGTTTTAGCATCATTCCTCCAGTCTTCAGTGTCACATGATCCTTCAGAAATCATTCTAATGTGCTGATTTGCTGCTCAAAAAACATTTAGCTTTATTATCAATGTTGAAAACAGTTGTGCCGCTTAATATTTTTGGAAACCGTGATACTACTATTTATTCAGAACTCCGAATCAAGAACAGCATTTATTTGAAATACAAATCTTAACATTATAAATAATTTTCTGATCAATTTACTGCATCCTCGCTAAATAAAAGTATTCATTTCTTTAAAAAAACAATCATACTGAACCCAGACCTTTGAATTGTAGTATAATAAAAATAGAAATTAAACTTCAAAGAGGTTTGTAAATATACTGACGTACGATCTATAGGTTTCTGCTCTTTGTGGAAGACGATGGCACCACATCTGAGCTCAGTTTACCGGGCAGCTTCTCTGTGGCTGATGAATCTTGTACTGACTGTTTCTGGGACACAAAACCAGAATTTTAAGTATGCAAACCAAGTATAAAATCCTTTCATGCAAGCACGTGGTTGAGAAATAGGAAAGTTGCTTTGTGGCAGTGCACCACCATGTGGACAATAGGAGTAATGATCAATTCTGTATGCTGTAAATGCAAAGCCTTTGAATAATAGACCAGCCACAGTACTTAAACAATGCAAGCTGTCCACCAGGTTTTAAGGGAATATGAATATAAACAGCCATGTGCTTGTGTGCTTGTGATTCAGCCGATGAAAGTGTCACTGATTGGGATTTTTCGTTTGAGCTTGTGTTTCTCCATGCTGCTGTTCATGAGTCAAAGCTACAGTATAAGAAACAAATTCATGCATTTAATTTCCAAATACAACCTACCTTTGGTTTAGACTTTGGTTTTGCACCCTTTCCCTGTAATCACATAGAGACCCCTGATATAAACCGGTTTGAACCAGTATGAAGGGTCTGGGCGAAAAACCTGGTGCTCTTTCAGAATCAGCATGCACAGATTTATCCTACTTTTTATTATCTCCCTTGCCTTTTTATTCAAATATTTGACTTCAAAATAATAATATGTGAAAGTCAAATGTGGTTTTTACCTTTGGTTTGCTGTCTTTAGCTTTGGGGTCAGTCAGGTTGGGAATCACTTTTTCCGCCAGCTCGTCGAAAACTGGACCTGATGCCTGGAAACACAGACAGATAAAAAAAATTAAACACAGAATTTGTGTGAAGAATTTAGAGGGATGTTACTTTCACAGGTTTGTTTGTGGTACCTTAAATGTTGGCGGTTGTGGTTCAGGGGTGAAGCGTTGGGCGTCAGGTGCTGAGGGCTTCACGGGCGGTACTGCACAAAAATCACTAGACAGCATGTCAAGGGCCGTTGTGTCATCGATTGACGTCTGAGAGATGAACAGACAGACAGTCAAATGTCTACAATGATTCTTAATGATCAAAATGACAGAAATGCAGTTTTTGGTTTTATTGACGTTATTAAAGGGTTAGTTCACCCAAAAATGCAAATTCTGTTATTAATTACACACCCTTGTGTTGTTCGAAACCCGTAAGACCTTCGTTCATCTTCGGAACACGATTTAAGATATTTTTGATGAAATCTGAGGGCTCTCTGACCCTCCCATAGACAGCAAGGTAACTTCCACGTTCAAGGTCCAGAAAAGTACCAAGATGATCGACAAAGTAGTCCGTGTGACATCAGTGGTTCAACTGTAAAGTTACGAAGCTACGAGAATACTTTTTTGCGCAAAGAAAACAAAAATAACGACTTTATACCACATTTTCGTCTCTACTGTTAGTTACCTTGCTGTCTATGGGAGGGTCAGAGAGCCCTCAGATTTCATCAAAAATATCTTAAATTGTGTTCCGAAGATGAACGAAGGTCTTACGGGTTTGGAACAACACAAGGGTGAGTAATTAATGACAGAATTGTCATTTTTGGGTGAACTAACCCTTTAATAAATTGTAAAATGGTACATATAAATCTGCATTAAAAAACTACCTGCTTTGGTTTGACGTCTTTCTGCTTTGCTGCTACAAACACCTGTGGTGAAGACCGAAGAATAAGTGGAAAATTTGTCACATTTTAGTTGTAAGTATTTCTAAATTAAATCCACTGGTACGGAAACATGAAGGAGAAGGAAAAGTCACCTTGCTGTCTTCCTCTGTGAACCGATGATCAGGTGGAAGGGTGTCGTCTCTCTCACCTGGTTTACTCACTCTTTCCTCCACTATATTCTTTTCCTGTGGTGGGAGGAAAGATGGTGAGAACATCAGGATCCAGTATTGTCATAGTTTAGTTTACATGACTATTTTCACCTTCCCTTTAGGTAAAGTTAAACTGATTTTGCTGCTGTGCCTTTAAGCAGGGTATGTAAACATATGTAAATATTCGCATGTGAAATTAGCATCTTTGCCAAACAAATGATTAGGACACTTGCTTAAAATGAACTTCAGACAGTTTTTCCTAATATTGGTATGCTTTGGAAGGATATGCAGAGTGGCAGGCGCCACACAATAGCAAGAAGCACAAGGTTTGGTGGTTATTCTCAGAGTTAAACTGATTTTGCTGCTGTGCCTTTAAGCAGGGTATGTAAACATATGTAAATATTCGCATGTGAAATTAGCATCTTTGCCAAACAAATGATTAGGACACTTGCTTAAAATGAACTTCAGACAGTTTTTCCTAATATTGGTATGCTTTGGAAGGATATGCAGAGTGACAGGCGCCACACAATAGCAAGAAGCACAAGGTTTGGTGGTTATTCTCACATTTTAAGGTGTTTTTAATTTCAGCTTAAATTTCGATAAATGGTTAAAACATGGTTACTAATGGTCATTAAAAGGGGTGGTACCTTAACGACATCTTTAGGTGGGACAGGGGCAGGCTCAGGGGCTCCTTTAATGTCTGCTAAAGTGTCTGAGAGGGCATCCATAGCTGATGAGGTACCTTCTGACAACTTAAACAAACAGTAGAAGAGAAAGTCAGTATAGAAGGAAAGTGTGAAAATGTATAATATGTATAAACATGGATAAATTAGACATTTACCTGTCTGCCAGCATGTGGGGGGCCAGAGACGGCAGACTGAACTTTAGATGCAGAAGAAGGAGCGACAAAATCACCTGCAAGAGCATCTAAAGCAAAATCGGAAGCAGAATCTGAAGGCTAAGGAGCAGAGTGAGAAAAGAGACGAGAGAGGTTTAAATAAACATGGAGATGATATTGAGATTAAACATATACTACGATACAAAAGTTTGGGGTCAGTAAAATGTTTTTTTAAAAGAAAATTCAGAGATAAATTCAAATAATTCAGCAAGGATGCATTTAATTGACCAAAAGTGTCAGTAAAGCATTTATAATGTCACAAAATATTTATATTTCAAATAAATACTGTTCTTTTGAACTTTCTACTCATCAAGAATCCTGGAAAAAAAATGTATCACAGTTTCCAAAAAAAACAAAAACTATTAAGCAGCACAACCGTTTTCAACATTGATGATAATAATAAAAATGTTTCTTCAGCACCAATTGAACACAGAGGTTTCAAATATATTAAAACGGAACACATTTAAAATTGTAATTAAATTTCACAATGTAATTGTATTTGCTGTATTATCATCAAATAAATGCAGCCTTGGTGAGTATAAGAGACTTCTTTAAAAAAAAAAAAACGGTAGTTAAAGTTTTTAAACAGTAGTGTACAGACATTTATTCTCATTGCTGTGTTGGATACACAACTGACATATTATACAGATTTAATTTGTGATGATTGTTTCTAATGTGGACATCCATGAATCTCACCTTAGCAGGAGACTTAGAGGCAGGACAGATGGGGGTCTTGGCAGCCGATGCCACAGAGGGGGTTGTAAAACCGCCAGACAGAAAATCCATAGCTTCAGTAGTGTCTAAGGAGGGCTGTGACACAAGAAACATCCACCAATCAAATCACAGAATCCAGCAACAGTGACCAATCATCACACACATCCATGAGACTTTCTGAAAGACAACCAGTGTCACACTATGTTGAAGACTATGACAGCGTTATTACCTCTTTCTCAGGAGGAGGATATTTCTTGAGCTCTTCCTCTGAGAATCTGTAATCTGGTGGGAGTGTATCTTCTCTCTCTCCAACACGAACTCCCTTTTTTGATGTCACATCTTTCTCCTGCTCAAAAAACATTCAGTTATTTAAAAAAATCACCAAGGAATGTACCAATGACATCTATGCCACATTTACATTTGTAAATTAAAAACATAAGAAGTATAGGATTATTACATGAACGATGTCTTTGGGTTTGAGTTCAGGTTCTTTTTTGGGTGGCTCTGGTTTACCCAGTGTGTCACCCAGAGCACTGAGAGCGTCCTACACAAATGAGAGAGCAGGACAGAAAAAAAGAGCGATATTAAAAATCTGTAGGGTCCAAAAAGATGAACATCAATTCTAATATTAAAACACAATAAATACAATTGATATGCTTAATATGACCAATGTCATGTATTTGTGTGATTTCTGTGAATATATTTTTGTCCAGTATTTGCAATACCTCATTTGTCTGTGGTGTTTGCGGAGGGCCTGGTGGAACAGTTTTAGGAGCACTCGAAGAAACCTACAGGAATAGAACAGAATAGAAAAATCATCTTCTGAGTAAAAACAAATACAGGAGATACTGGACATAAAGTACAATAATAGCACAGATAAGAATCGAGCAATAAACCGACCTTAGGCACAGACTGTGCGGGAACCACAAAATCACCTGCCAGAACATCCAGTGCTGATAATTCATCCACTTTAGGCTAAAAGAAGATTAGAAAGACAGAAAACATCTTAATCTGTGCAGGAGAAACATTACCACAATTTGCATTTGGAGAATGCATTATTACAAAGCATTCTGGAATACTTGGTTAATTGCTGCATTCCATCTTCAAATATATTTCTATCATGTACGATACTGTACTATTGATCCTTTTCTCAAATGTCTCTCGTATCACTCCACGGTCACGTTCTTATCCCGTAATAAAGCAATTTCAAATCAAATCAATATTTCATGTCCAGTTATTAATTTGGTAAGTAGCCAAAAGTGATATAATGTAGAGTCAGCCAGTCATTATCTCAAAATAAACACAGACAGTAAAAGCCCTCTATTACTGTCCTACCTTGGGAACATACAGAAGAAACAAATTCATACAGGTTTGGAACAACTTATGGGTGAGTAAATGATGACTTTCATTTGTGTGTGAACTATCCCTTTAACAACAGGAAGACAACAAATGGTTACAAACAACAGCAGAGAAACAGCTTTCCTAACTTGGGAACATCTTTAGCTTTCTCAGGAACCCCAGCAGGTTTCTTGGATTCCTGATTGAATAATTAAACAACTGTTTGAATGTGTACTAATGTTATGTTGTTAATGAAAGCTATTTTAAAATAACTACTTTGTGGGGGAACGATGGTGTGGTGAAGTAATGGTGGTTTGAACAACATTTGGCTACAAACGGCACAGAAACAGCTTTCCTACCTTAGGAACGTCTTTAGTCTTTTCAGGAACCGCTTCAGGTTTCTTCTTTTCCTGATTAAACAAATTAACAGTTTAACTGAATGTACATTATAAGCATTAAATCATGTAATACTGTTCTTATACTGTCTCATTTGAATGAAAATTATTATAAATTATTACCTGTGAAGGAGGAACAGGAGCCTTAACCACCGGTGCTGCTGCAGGCTCTGTGAAACCTCCAGAAAGAAAGTCCAGTGCATCATCTGCGTTTATTGAGGGCTGAGAAAGACATCCACCAATCAGAACACAGCATCCAGTGACAGCAGCCAATCACAACACAATCACAACTCATTTTTGCTCACACAAGCCAAAATTCTAAATAGATGAAAGTGTCTTGACATGTGGCCAAGTATGAAATTAGTGCTCTGCATTTAACCCATCCAAAGTGCACACACACAGCAGTGAACACACACCCGGAGCAGTGGGCAGCCATTTATGCTGCGGCGACCGGGGAGCAGTTGGAGGTTCGGTGCCTTGCTCAAGGGCACCTCAGTCATGGTATTGAAGGTGGTAGAGAGCGCTGTACATTCACTCCCCCCACCTACAATCCCTGCCAGTACGAGACTCGAACCCGCAACCTTAGGGTTACGAGTCCGACTCTCTAACCATTAGGCCACTACTTCCCCAAAAATGTAAAGTATTAAATAAGAATGAACATTAATAGAAGACATTGAATACAATATGCAAAAATATCAAATTAATGTCGGACCTCTTTCTTAGGAGGAGGATATTTCATGAGCTCTTCCTCTGAGAATCTGTAACCTGGTGGGAGTGTGTCTTCTCTCTCCCCAACACGAACACCCTTCTCTGATATCTGTTTCTTCTCCTGCTCAAAAACATGTAAAACTATTTAAAAAACATATAGAAAACTAGTAATAGTACTTCAGCAGATGCAGCTACTTGCACCTAATTTTTACATGCTACCTTAAAAAAAAATAAAAATACTTGGTGAGTATAAGAGACTTCTTTTAAAAAAAAAAAAACGGTAGTTAAAGTTTTTAAACAGTAGTGTACAGACATTTATTCTCATTGCTGTGTTGGATACACAACTGACATATTAAACAGATTTAATTTGTGATGATTGTTTCTAATGTGGACATCCATGAATCTCACCTTAGCAGGAGACTTAGAGGCAGGACAGATGGGGGTCTTGGCAGCCGATGCCACAGAGGGGGTTGTAAAACCGCCAGACAGAAAATCCATAGCTTCAGTAGTGTCTAAGGAGGGCTGTGACACAAGAAACATCCACCAATCAAATCACAGAATCCAGCAACAGTGACCAATCATCACACACATCCATGAGACTTTCTGAAAGACAACCAGTGTCACACTATGTTGAAGACTATGACAGCGTTATTACCTCTTTCTCAGGAGGAGGATATTTCTTGAGCTCTTCCTCTGAGAATCTGTAATCTGGTGGGAGTGTATCTTCTCTCTCTCCAACACGAACTCCCTTTTTTGATGTCACATCTTTCTCCTGCTCAAAAAACATTCAGTTATTTAAAAAAATCACCAAGGAATGTACCAATGACATCTATGCCACATTTACATTTGTAAATTAAAAACATAAGAAGTATAGGATTATTACATGAACGATGTCTTTGGGTTTGAGTTCAGGTTCTTTTTTGGGTGGCTCTGGTTTACCCAGTGTGTCACCCAGAGCACTGAGAGCGTCCTACACAAATGAGAGAGCAGGACAGAAAAAAAGAGCGATATTAAAAATCTGTAGGGTCCAAAAAGATGAACATCAATTCTAATATTAAAACACAATAAATACAATTGATATGCTTAATATGACCAATGTCATGTATTTGTGTGATTTCTGTGAATATATTTTTGTCCAGTATTTGCAATACCTCATTTGTCTGTGGTGTTTGCGGAGGGCCTGGTGGAACAGTTTTAGGAGCACTCGAAGAAACCTACAGGAATAGAACAGAATAGAAAAATCATCTTCTGAGTAAAAACAAATACAGGAGATACTGGACATAAAGTACAATAATAGCACAGATAAGAATCGAGCAATAAACCGACCTTAGGCACAGACTGTGCGGGAACCACAAAATCACCTGCCAGAACATCCAGTGCTGATAATTCATCCACTTTAGGCTAAAAGAAGATTAGAAAGACAGAAAACATCTTAATCTGTGCAGGAGAAACATTACCACAATTTGCATTTGGAGAATGCATTATTACAAAGCATTCTGGAATACTTGGTTAATTGCTGCATTCCATCTTCAAATATATTTCTATCATGTACGATACTGTACTATTGATCCTTTTCTCAAATGTCTCTCGTATCACTCCACGGTCACGTTCTTATCCCGTAATAAAGCAATTTCAAATCAAATCAATATTTCATGTCCAGTTATTAATTTGGTAAGTAGCCAAAAGTGATATAATGTAGAGTCAGCCAGTCATTATCTCAAAATAAACACAGACAGTAAAAGCCCTCTATTACTGTCCTACCTTGGGAACATACAGAAGAAACAAATTCATACAGGTTTGGAACAACTTATGGGTGAGTAAATGATGACTTTCATTTGTGTGTGAACTATCCCTTTAACAACAGGAAGACAACAAATGGTTACAAACAACAGCAGAGAAACAGCTTTCCTAACTTGGGAACATCTTTAGCTTTCTCAGGAACCCCAGCAGGTTTCTTGGATTCCTGATTGAATAATTAAACAACTGTTTGAATGTGTACTAATGTTATGTTGTTAATGAAAGCTATTTTAAAATAACTACTTTGTGGGGGAACGATGGTGTGGTGAAGTAATGGTGGTTTGAACAACATTTGGCTACAAACGGCACAGAAACAGCTTTCCTACCTTAGGAACGTCTTTAGTCTTTTCAGGAACCGCTTCAGGTTTCTTCTTTTCCTGATTAAACAAATTAACAGTTTAACTGAATGTACATTATAAGCATTAAATCATGTAATACTGTTCTTATACTGTCTCATTTGAATGAAAATTATTATAAATTATTACCTGTGAAGGAGGAACAGGAGCCTTAACCACCGGTGCTGCTGCAGGCTCTGTGAAACCTCCAGAAAGAAAGTCCAGTGCATCATCTGCGTTTATTGAGGGCTGAGAAAGACATCCACCAATCAGAACACAGCATCCAGTGACAGCAGCCAATCACAACACAATCACAACTCATTTTTGCTCACACAAGCCAAAATTCTAAATAGATGAAAGTGTCTTGACATGTGGCCAAGTATGAAATTAGTGCTCTGCATTTAACCCATCCAAAGTGCACACACACAGCAGTGAACACACACCCGGAGCAGTGGGCAGCCTTGAAAACCCCTAAATTAAGCAAATACATAGCAAACTGTTGTCAAGATACTCACAACATCTGTCTTCTTAGGAGCAGGTGGAGCTGAAGACACAAACCCAGCTGCGAGGGAGTCCAGCGCCTCGGATGTGCTTATTGGCTTTTAGAAAACATTAAACAATCATATGTGAATAAAAATAATCAAACAAAATTGTGCACAAAAAACTAATAATGTAATTCTAGGAAAGACCATAAGAGGGAGCCCCAAGCCCAATTTTGGGGGAATAACAAACAGCATGTGCCCTGGGCAGGAAAAGTACAGACACACCCTGTGCATACCAACAGCTAGACATTAATAACACACTGCTTTTACATGCTAACAACCACCAGCTGAATAAGCTGAGCTCTCTATGAACAATCAGGGCAAAACAATCGGAAAAGCTGTACCAAATACTGAGACGGTGATCATAATATTCTGAGAACTGAATGGTGGGCGAAGGGTGTTTACATAAAACTTGTATTACATAATGAGTAGAATACAGCACAGGTTAGATGAGTGTGCTTGTATGTGCTGATTGGGCAACAATGTGCAGAAAGTGAATGAGTGATGGCTTGGTGTTTGCTTCTGTTTGCTAGCCAACACCCTTAGAACAAGCTAAATATTTGGCACTAAAATACAGATAGAAAGAGACATGAAAAGTAATGGTTAAGACGTGAGTGATTATCAGTGAGATGTCAAATATCTCACAAACAAGTCATACGTGACAGTATGACTGAGTGTAACTGTAATCAATGGGCCTTGTTCACTAAAAGTGTATGCAAATGTTTTCAAACAGAAATAATGATTCAAAGTTCATACTGATTATTTATTCCATACTGATAAGTTCATATTTCATTCTAAATTTAAGGAAAACAGAAATATATAAAATATTTTATTAAACAGGAACATAACAATAATACTACTACTAATAAAGAAAATATACAGTTAATTTAAAATAATAAAAACAACTGACAGACTCCTAGTGGCCTTATAATGGAATTAGTTTTTTGTTAAATATATATACATATTATTTGAAAGCAAATAACCATGCAGCAATATAATAATTGTTTACAAACATTGTATGCATTATAGATTGATGTGGGATAAATCATGCATAAAACAGAGCCTGTATTTGGCATATACATATTCCCTAAAATTGCCCATATAAAAACCATGGTTTGGGTGTGTACTCATTTAAAATAATCCAAATGAATCAACATTACATTGAAGGTAAGAACAAATATATATGTAACTTTATGCACAAAACAAATGCATTGTTAGAGCATGAGGCCAAGGAAGACCAGGAGAATGCAGTGAGAAAGAGACCGTAATAAAAAGGTGCAGAATGCTAATGTGGTGTTGGGAAGTAGGCAAGCAAACACTGGAGACTTTAAAAGTGTGTGTGTGAACTACAAGAATGCGAGTCACATGATTAGAAATGGTCTAAAAACAACACACCGAGCACACTGACAGTAAAAGGCCTCCACAGTTCTCCTACCTTGGGAACTTCTTTAGGCTTCTCAGGAACTCCAGCAGGTGTTTTCTTTTCCTGAATGGACAAATTAACAATATTTAGACTCAAAGCCGACTAAAACAGTGACTGAAAATTGACTGAAACACATGCGTAAAAAAAAACAATGCTTTGAATTAGATAGAAACAATGAAAACAGACACTAAAGGTCCTTCACACATCAGTAAGCTAAATTAGATAGAAACAATGAAAACAGCCTCTAAAAGACGTTCAAACATCAGTAAGCTATCATTAAAAAGGCGGAGGCATTATGAAGAGGGAAACAAAACAGAAATGTGAGGAGAGAGAAGGAATGAATGTCCGAAGGAACAGTTCACCCCCCAAAAAAACCCAATATGGCTTCAGAAGAATTGTCATATAGCACACAAGCCCTTCTTTAGACTACTTTTCTGTCCATTTTGAAGCTTAAAAGCCTCAATCTCCATTAATTGTAATTGCATGGAAAAGAACAATTAGCATATTCTTCAAAATCCTTATTTTGTGTTGCATGGAAGAAAGCAAATCATCCGAGAAAAGGTTAACAATTTGTGTGATCTCCAACTGACCAGATCTGCTCGTCTGTATCCGGGCGGCAATGTGTCATCTCTCTCACCACAGATAACACCCTTCTCTTCCTTTACATTTGGCTGAGACATGCAATACACTCCATTAGAATACACACACGTGTAGCAAGACACAGGCTGTTAAATAATCAACATTCACAAACACATGCTAACTGCTTAAGTTTTACACATCACTCAAATATCTACACTCATGCAGTACCTCTTTGACCTCTGGTCCAGTGAATGCTGGGACTTTTGGTGCCACAGGTTGTGATGATGGTAAAGTGCCAGACAGGGCATCAAACGGATCTACATCCTACACACACACACACACACACACACACACACACACATAAAAATAAACTCAGTGGGATGTTTTTAACACACACAGTATCTGATAATCACACAACAGAAACCACAAAGATGAAGTCAGCATGTAAACTCACCTCCGTACCGACTTTAGCTCCTGAAGGACCCACTTCCACTTGCACCTGCAGCACAAAGCAAAATAACTTTTTATTATATTCCATACTGACATATCTGGACTGCACTACCCTACTTAATCATTCCCAGGTATCACACATATTTTTCATTGGGGGGATTTTTCAGGACAATTCCATTCACAAGTTTCGGTTTGTTTTTTAAATGTTTTTGAAAGAAGCCTCTCATGCTTACATTAATCAAAAATACAGTTAAATATTAAAAACTGTAAAATATGTTTAAAAATGTCATACTACTGTTTTCTATTATATTTTAAAATAACATTCATGTGATGTAAAGCTGACTTTTCTGCAGCCATTACGCCAGTCTTCAGTGTCACATGATCCTTCAGAAATCATTCTAATATGCTGATTTGCTGCTCAAGAAACATTTCTGATTATTATCACAGTTGGAAACATTGTGGAAATGATTCAACTTTTTTCAGGATTCTTTAATGAATAGAAAGTTAAAAATAACTTTGTGTGACAATGTCTTTACTGTCAAGATTTTGTGACATGATACTGTCACTTTTGATCAATTTATAGCATACTTGTATATAAAAAAACAACTAAGGATTTCCCCCAAAAAGCCCTTTTAAAATACAATAAGATACACTTTCTTTTCAAGCACAAATGTCTCACATTTGCACCTTTAGCAGGGTAAAATAACAACGCTGATGTAATTTTGGTGCATTCCTGATGATCCTTTGTCATTCCATTAATAAAGTACCTTTTGAGCACTTGTCTGCTTTTGAGCACCAGCCGGGGCTGAGGGCTTCCCAACAGCCAGATCCACTTTAGCAGGTCCCAGTTTGGATGCGGGAATGGTTGTACTCTATCAGGAGCATACGCACCACATATTCGAACATTAACACCAAGATTATAAACAAAACTGAGCAACTGTGCAGCCAACGCAAACACAGAGAGTGAAGGAATAGAAAGATAAGACCTCTGTCTTATCTTTTCAGGAGGGCAATGATGCAACTCCTCACAAATTTGTGAAAGATGAGAGTGGTGATCAGAGAATGAGACATTGCTGAGGTGGGACAATCCATCAAAAGAGAATTCTTGAAGTAAAAGCAGCAATAACTGGCATGCAGAAGACAATATCACAAAAGTGGCATGTCGATGAAATCTTGTTTGCAGAAGAAGATGGACAAGAGTAGCCAAAACGCCATGGAATGCTGTGCATTGGTGTACCTGGGCCTTATCTTTCAGAGGGTCTGTGGGCTTCACTCCTGTTGTTCCAGCAGGTCCAGTCCCAGAGCTCACAATTGGGACTTTAGCAGACGGTGCAGGTGTGGGTTTCAAGACCGTGGCCTGCAATCAGCATGCAGGAGTAAGACAGGAATACAGCGAATATTCAAGATGCACTTTAAGTATGAATACGAAATGAGATGGATGGACAAAACTAAATGAAGGTGGTTTGCAGATGGGGTTTAATTTCGAAATGGCAGAGGAGAGAGACCCAAAAAGTCATGAATGTGTTTAACGTTGAGACCCAAAGAACAAATCCCAAAAACACCATCTTCAGTAGACAGAAGTTTGTGGAACAAACAGTCCTACAGATGTTTTCCAAATGTTGTGGAAATGGAAACAGCCCAAAAGTGTTGTTAGTGTTTACCAAAAATGTTAACCAAGAATGAAAGCAAGTTAGGAAAGAAAGTCAAAAAGGTTTTTAAGAAAAGGCAGCGGCCCTAATGAAACCCAGTGTGAGGAAGGTGTAAATAAGCCCGTAATCTGATCAAATCCAGCAGACGGATGGTGTCTACCTGTGGCGTGACTTGAGAAGGTCCTTTCTTAGTGGTGATGAAGCCTCCACCGCCTGCAGCTCTCGCAGAAGATGCTCCTGAAGGAGCTGCAGGTGTGGTGCCAGGTTTGACAGTCACAGCTGCTGTAGACGATTGCGTAGGTCCTTTCTACAATGCAGATGTGAAAATGGCAACCATATATCATGTTTAGAGCATTTCTTGTTGAGAGAAAGTCTATAGGATCATGACAGATTATTAAATGTGCCAGAATGGCATCAACTATAGTCTTGCAGAACACTTTCTCTGGGCAGATCTTTATTTGTATAGGAACGTGAACATGACCTTTATTTTTATAAGGTATAGAACTTGTTAACCAGGGAGTTTTGGTACCAAATCAAAAGCAAACTCCAGCTGTAACTAGATTCAGGAAAGTGAGTCATAGGGTAGACACTCCTCATGGGAGACACCATGTCCTGCCACAACCAAATATCCCAACATGCTCTGTCCAACAGATAACCACGAGAAAAATGAAAAGAACATTTATGTTTACAATCAAAAAGTCTCAATAAGCAACCAACATAGTCCTCTAAGAGTCCATACAAATGCAAGAGGAGTATATAAAGACTTCTTTGTCTTTTTATCTTGTTGCAGTGATTTTTTTCTGTCCTCTCGTAGATTTTAATGGTGCTGGTTGTTAAATCAAGCGTCTCGACAACAACCCACAACAACCTCGTATTGTGGCAGTGACTTTTGCACTGGCAAGAGGCCTTTAGTTTTTCTTCAGGTTTTTCCACAAAAAAGCTTGTTTCACATATTATTGCTAAAATGTCTTAAGTTTCTTTTCCTCCCTTTTTATCTTCAGGGTTCCCATACCTTTACACCAATGGTTTTCCATGATGTTCCATGACTACTGGAGCATTAAAAAAATTAAAGCATTAAAAAAAATACTTACTAAATAAATAAATACTTAATACTTATATACTATATATCTTATTGAGAATTATTTTTTAGATGAAAGATCTTGCAGCTGAGCACATCTAAAATTTCCTGATGTTTCTGAAAGAAAGAGAAACTCTGTATTTTTCCCCGGTAGAGGAATCAACTCAAATTATTTATAAAGTCTATCTATACTATCAATTCAAGCTAGTTCATACTACACATACTGCAATTTATGCCGATATTGTAATTTAAACTGTTTAATCTTATTATTAGGTATATACACATTATCATAGCTAAGAATATAGACTTGAGGACAGGCAACAATGTAGCTTTCCACGTTCTTAAAGGAACAGCATTAAACACTTTATCTGAAAGACGGAAGACTTTTCCCAGTTCTCCGTTCAGCTACAACGCCACACCTCTTTAAAAACACAGTAGCGTTCCTCACAGAATAGACACCTGAATACTTCCAAGAAGGAAAAAGCAGACAACTATCTACATCCAGTGGAGATGCGATGGGTCGATAAAGTTGTAGAGTGCAATATATTTTTTTTGTGGAATACGAGTCTTTCCATCAGACAAATAAATGAGATCATGTGAATAAATGGAGTAAATGAGAGAACGACTGAAAACAATGAAGGATTTTACCTCATATTGTGCAGGCTTCCCTGTGGAGACCTGAGATGTTGGGGTGGGTGTGACCTGCTGAGACTGCAAAAACAGAGACAGAAAGTTGAGTGTTTGAGAAAACGTAATGCATTTACATTATTATGAAAAGCATTATTGCTGCCATCAATAAATAACTATGGAACCCATCACTATCCCTGACCTTCTCGCTACACTAAAAACAGCCAGAATCACATGCAAATCATGAGTTTAGTTTGAAACATGAGGTCATGCTGAATCAGACAGGAGAAACCCATGAATGCATTATCAAACACACTTAAACGTGTGTGCATACTTTCATATGCGAGCAAAATTGTACTAAATGCAAAGTGTAAAGTGGATTTCTAATCAGATGCATCATTATTAATAGATACAAATCAATATTTCGTTGAACACTGACGCAATAACAATCCTAAAAATGACTTGCTGTAACAACTAAGGAGAACAGTAGCTCTACCAGTTCACAAACTGCATCTTAAACAAGGGCTTCTACCAGGCAAGACCTTTAACTACCATAATCATGGCAACCACTTCTAGCCATTCATGGTATGTGGTCCTCTCTAAACATTTGCTGTTAACACCAAACCGCCACCTCTCTCTCAAATGGACCATGAGTGTCAATGGTCCACTTGAGAGATAGGTGGCGGTAATGCACTTATAAGTCTGCGATCCGCCGTAAAGCAAGAAGAAGACGCGTCACGTGCCGGCTGTTGAACGCGCTCAGGACAGTTCGGACATTGCGGTGAAAATCAGAGGTAAAAAACTATATAAATACCATTCAGTTTCTTGCACAGACTGATCGTTTCGTGTCTTTACACATCAATGTATCGTCACAAGGGTTTAATTTGGTTTTGTTTGTGTATGTTTTTTTGACTCTCAAAGCCGTGATTCCCATCCACTTGCATTATAAGACTGACAGACAGCAACGGTTTGACTTAAAAATCTTCGTTTGTGTTCTACTGAAGAAACAAAGTCACCTACATCTTGGATGCCCTGGGGGTAAGCAGATAAACATCAAATTTTCATTTCTGGGTGAACTATCCCTTTAAGGATGAAATGGTGACAGCTCATGGCTCGTTTATCTACTGGCCTTTACGTTTTCTAAATTTTTCTTCCACCCAGTCAGTTTGTGAACATAGCATCAAGGAGCACCCAACATATAGATGAACTGCTTCGATGTTCCCTGAAGTGTTCTGACAAGCTCAGCAGGTTTTAGGTTATTTACTGAATGAGGGTGGATTGTTGATGATGAAATACAAAGAACCAGAGGTAACGACACAGGTAAATACTCAATAAAAGCTCTTTCATTAAAATCGGAGTTTTTTGCCAATCCAGCAAGTGATTAGTGATGGGATGTTTTGTCGATCACTTAATTTCTATTTATATGAGTGTTGCACTGAACAGCCCCACCCATTGTGAAATCTCATTGGTCTAAAATTGAATTCCACATAACTCTACATTAAACTTGTATCTTTTTGTTTGTGTCACTTTGTCCTACATGACCAACTTGACTCACAGAAAACATGCTACATGTTTGTCATGGCAGGTCAGAAGAATTAAAAAGAATATATATATATATATAAATTAAAGATCACTATTTTTTAAAGACTATTCTGTCCTTTTACTTTCTTCTCGTTCTTCATTTTATTAGATGTAATCATTACAATAAATAAATAAATCTGATTAATGAGACAAGAACAACATTTTTTTTATTAATATTTATTTCCAATTTTATATTATTGAAATAATATTATCATTAATACTACTAATAATAATAATAATAAAAACAAAGCATCAAGCGTTATACAGTCTTAATGTTTTTAACATTTATTGGACAATTATTTAACAATACATGAAAAATTTTAATAGTAATAATAATTATTTGTATTAGTATTTTTATACTATTATTAGCATAAAATTATTCTTGTAATATTCACATTATTATAATCATTACTAGAATTTTCATTACCATTGTAATTATTAGAATAATAATTGCTGTTGTTGTTAATATTTTTTAACACTGACAGACAAGAAGGATTGGAAATTATAAGAAATGAGGGGAAATGGGACAGGAAAATGAAACAAGCCGGACACAAACTCTCCAGATCACACATCAGAGCAAATGTGCTAACCACAAGGTTGCAATTTCTACCAAATCTTTAAATGAAAAGAAAGGGCTTACAGAATTGTCATTCAGGAAGCCTTGAAGCTCAAGTCCTTGCAATTGTACTGATATTTGACCGTCAAAGACACTGTGCAAGGGCCTTTAGTGTACATCAACACACTGTGTTCTTTCTCTGCGCCACTAAATAAAGATGCATGAGCAACAACGATAATAAAAGCACTGGCTCTGAGCATATGGACGGCATTAGAAAAAACTCTTGAAAGTATTATTTAGGAAATACTTGGCTGATACCATAATAACCCAACCCACTCAACAACAATACAACAAAAAAAGGTGGAGAGTTACTGTGAGTACATGAATTGAATGAGCATGGGTGTAGAGCTAAATGTTGCGTGCAAGAAACCACCTAGATACATGATTTTTAGTCAGGTAAACACTATGCATGCTCAGCAATTAAAAAAAACAAAGCATTACGGGTAAATTTGTATGTAAACACAGGGCAGGTTCCATTTAAAAGGACAATGTGTGCAGAAGCACTGAAATGAATTTGATGCTGACTCAGTGCACTTAAAATAGAAGTAAACATTCTACAGATCTCAATGTAACCACAACAGATGATCCTCCAAATAATGACAGAGTCAGCAATTTAAATATTTTTTCTATTAAATGTTATGATTAAAATATTCTAGGGTGGGTTTTGCTGATGTCACTGACACAGACTATGTGCCAACACCCCAAAATAGGCCCAAACGCACACGTGATTCAGACCAGCCTAAATGACAAGCTCACACTGTTATCTCAATATCATGATGGTCACAATTCCTGAAGTACAATCTAACTATCACAGACAGATCCTTCACACAACAATATCTGTGCACATTTAGCAGAACAGTCCAAGTTTGACAACTCCTCCCAGAAACCACGACTTGCTAGCAGGCGTTAGCGAATGTTAACAAAGGAAATAGCAACACGGGTTAGGTACAAACCACACAGGTCTTCTCCAACCTGTTCTAGTCTCCGAGCCACTGCCCTCTTCTAATTCAACCATACTGAAGAAGCATGTTTGGTGGAGTCACACATTGAATCTGAATCTGTAGACACACCCTTTTAGCATAACAACTGGAGATTTGTGAATATAAGTAAGCTACGTTAGCATTGATTCTTACATCCCAATAACTTCCTCAACAGCACAACTAAACAGAAAAAAATCTGCGGTTTATAGGTCTTTTGTCACTAGTTACCTCATTGTTTACGGTTTAATCATGACTAATGTACATCTCCACCCAAATTACCACAAAAGTACACTCATAAATGCTCTGTAGTTACAGAAAGTTAATCTATTGTGTGACGTCCTAAGTTTTTCATTCGAAACGTTTGTTTAAGAACTGCTATTAGGTAACTGCTATGACGACAACACTTCTGTATTATGACAACTAAGATGTAATGACGGTATGACGTTAGCATTGAGGTTTAAGGATGGGCAGGTTTTACTGGCTTCAGTAGCGCACAGATTAGCATGACACAGGGCAGATTGTAATTCAAGACCAACTAGTTAAGTGACTGCAATCAATTCTGGGGCTACAGAATTTATGCAAATATGATGAATTATGTAAGATTCTGACTGATGATGACTTAAATTTTGGCTTTTACATTACAAATGCCATAACTTTATAATGAGGTAGCATCCTGGATGTGGAAAATGACTTCAAGTTGCTACTTGCAAGCAATCAATTATGCACTTCAAGTATGTACTAAATGGCCAGCAGCAAAGTATAGGCTAAATGTAATGGTGAATTGTATACTATAGTAGAAGAACTGAGGAAAATTCAATGCAGTATATTTGTTTAACCTGTTCTGTAAATGCCATAACTGCATTCCTCCCTGATAGCACACGTACATCTTGGAGACGTCTATTTGACATCTGCATTTACATCTGCAAGACGCAGCGTGCTTGTTGCATTACAAAATGAATAATTAATAATAATTGGTTATCCAGCTATGCTTCCAGACATGAAATATTACCCCTTGCCATGAGCAAAGGTCAAAATGGAAGGCCACAAAGTATGTAAATGGCATACTGAGGTCACAAACATCTCAAAAAATGTGAGCATAGTGACAGACAGCTCTCATTCTGACATGTAAAATTGCTTAAACCTTCTAAACCTAAAATCAATGCAGTAAACAACCGTAAACTTAGTAACCAGCTGTTTAAACAATTTCCTGATACTTGTTTAGATGAAGCCTGCTCAGACATTATAGTAAGAAATAGACTGAGGCCTTTTCTGTCTCTCAGACAACAATGAAACAAGCAGTTTCTTGCGTGCCAAAAGCACTGTAATCGTTTCCACAAACTGCAGTGCAGTTGGCACAATCTTCAGCTATAGGCAGGTACAGCGGCAGGAAACCACAGACAGAAATGCAAGAGCTGTAGATACGTACCATCTGTAACAAAACCGAGTGTCCTGTTTCACTTTTGCCTGTAATCCAATCTAAAAGAGAGTCACTTCAATTTCCCTCGGCCTGATATATATAAAATATACCCCTTATGCACACAAACAAGTATATACTAACAGAAACACGCCCAGCAGTGAAGCCAGAAGCCTTAAACTCCTCCCACTCCACCAGCTTCAACAGCTGATGCCCCGCCCTCGAGTGTAGAAGTGTTCTGATTGGTCGAGAGTGAAGGGGTGCCGCCCATCTGCACAGCGAGCCAGGAAAAATAAACACAAGACTGTTTCCACACAACTAAGGAAGTTGGAGTTGGGGTGGTGGTTATAGGTTTCAAAGATAGGCTGCCTGCAGTGGTTTGAAGGGGTCTGGGCCGGTCTGGACTGATAAGAAGTTGTACGTGTTTCTATAGAGGCCGGTGAAGAAAAAAGATGCAGTGCAAACCTTCCCGTTCATACCCGTCAGGCTGGGT